TTTTTTTTTCGTCGATTAATTTTTTTTTTTCAAGTTTAATTAAAATTTTAACACCTTGACGGTGTTTGATTAAATTTTTAAAATTTATTGATAATAATATAATAAAAAAAGGCAAATCTCTTAAGAAGAAATAATAATAATAATAATTTGTTAATTAAAATACAATTTGAGCATATGCATACATATATAAATATTGACGTTTAAATAAAATTTTTTAAACTTTAAAAAAAAAAAATGACAAAAATTATATAATTTTAATTTTGTTTCATATCAGAAAAAAAGGAAAAAGGAAAACATATCTGACATGCAAATATAATGAAAAATTTTTTTTTAATATTATATTAAATAAAAAAAAAAAAAAGAAAAAGAAAAAAAAGGGTAGGAAAATAATAAAAGGAAAAGTGATTTTTTTATTATTCATAAAAACAATAAAATATTATTTATTTTTATAGATTTTATTTCCGTTTTACTCTTTTTTTTTAATTTTCAACCAATAATAATAATAATTTTTTTTAAAAATTTAACATTTTGTATGTTACACTGACAACCATTAATTTTTTAAATATTAAAATTAAATTTACAAATGTTTAATTATTACAATTATTCGATTCGATTTTCATTATAGTTTTATTTATTCGTTTATAAATTTTACAAATTTCTCATTACGTTAAAAAAAAAAAATTAATTTTATGGTTTAAATTAACGATAAAGTGTTATTAATTATTTTATGTGGCAGTAATTGGTATGTTTTACAAAATAAATCTTATATTTAATGTAATCAATTAAATTTTCCATTAAAAAAAAAAAAAGTTTTTTGTATCAATTAATTGTTTACCATTTACTTTTATCGACAAAATACATGTTTCCCATTTAAACGTTTTTATTTTTCGTTTTGAAAAAATACTTTCAAAATTTTTCATTTAATTCTTTATAAAAAATTGATTACGTCACTTCTCCGGAAGTTGTTAAAGGACGAAAAAAATCTATTGTTAAATGATGAAAATCAATTTAATTGTTTCGTTTTTTTTTTTTATTACAGATAGTACGTCCCGTAAACGCCTTCCTAATAGTCGATGTTCAAAATGATTTTATTTCCGGTTCGTTAAACATTAGCAAATGTGCCGCCCAGCAAAATGGTTCGGATGTTATAGAACCAATAAATCGTTTATTAGACACGGTTGATTTCGATGCCGTTTTTTATTCATACGATTGGCATCCGGTTGATCATGTATCATTTATCGATAATTTACCAAACAGAAAACTTCATCCATCGAGTATGGTATGTTTAATTTTTTTTTGAAAGCTTAAAACAAACCCCCCACCCCCCCCATCCCAAATCAACAACATGAAAAATTAAAAAAGGGGTGATGATGATGAATATTAAATCAATCAATAAATTCAAATCGGAAAACAAAAAAGGGGGGGGGAGGGGGAAAAATAATTTGATTAATATATTTGGTATATGCATTCAATAATGATTTTTCTTTCCCCCCTCTCCCCTCCGTCTCCTACGGGAAAAAAAACGTTTTCTATCAAACATTTAAGATTCACCAAATAAAATAAAGTTTGTTTGTTTGTTGTTGTTGTTGTTATGGGTGGAAATAAGTTTGTATATGACATTTTAATCTGATAAATTACCTTCTGACATATCATGCAGTAAAAGGATTGCAGTATTCAAATTTTCCCCCTTTTTTTCCTTTTTTTTTTTTTCCTTTTGACTAGTCTTCGAAAACTATTTTAAATTAGAAAAAGAAAAAAAAGAAAAGTTTTTTTTTTTTAATTTATAAAAAGATTATCGATTGGTTTTCATTTTAATAATTATTAATTTTTTTAGTTTTTTTTATTATTTCCTTTTTTTATTAATATCTTATTATTTTAAATATTTATTTTGTTATCAGTCGAAGATAAAAGGAAATTATCCCATTTTTTACTTATCGTTTAAAATTAACGGTTTTCTGCTTCCACGTCATATAAAAACTTTTAATTTTTTTAAATTTTAAGTTTTTAAATATATTTTTAAGTTGAAACTTTAATGAAAAAATTAATAAGATAAAATTTTTTATTTTTAGATAAAACTGTTAGTAATCGATAAGTGATCACGATTTTCCTTTTTTTCCTTTTTTTCCCTTTTTTCCTTTTTTTTGGGTGAATCTATGTATAAATTTCGTGTCGAATTAAGTTAAATTTTCGTGTTAATTAAAGAAGTGTTTCCTGAAGAGAGAGAGAGAGAGAGAGAAAGAGAGAGAAAGAGAGAGAGAGAGAGAGATGGAATTTAGTGCCAAGTAGTGATGGTGCTAAAATGCCAATATAAAACTTAAGGGAAAATCACGCGAACCTGATTTTTTTTACGTCAATTATACTTTGACGTAGAAAAAAATCGGAAACGGAAATTAAATTTTTTTTTTTTACCACCCACATAACACGTGACCTTTTTTTAATTTAATTTTTTTTTTTTTTTTTTGTAAAGGTGACTGCTGATAAAGCCCAACTTTACGATACGGTAACTTTTGAAGGTCCCCCACTCATGAAACAGAGACTTTGGCCTCGTCATTGCGTTCAAGATTCTTGGGGTGCCGAATTACATAAAGACTTGAAGGTAATCGTGAATTATTATTTTATTTTATTTTTTTTTATTAACATTTTAATCATTAAAAATAAAATTAAAAAAATTGAAATATTGATTTATGTTTTAAATTTGGGTCAATGTTTTACTGTCTATAAAAAAAAAAAAAAAATGAGATAAAACTAAATTAGTTTTTAATAATAATAATAAAAAAATTTATAATTTTTTTTAGGTCGTAGACGGTGCTATAAAAATTTACAAAGGTACAAATCCAGAAATTGATTCCTATTCTGTTTTTTGGGATAATAAAAAAATTAAAAGGACAACATTGGATGATCAACTACGTGATAAAAACACAACGGATATTTATGTTTGCGGTTTGGCTTATGATGTTTGCGTGGGTAAGATGTTTTTTAAATGAAAAGGGAAAATTCGTTGATAAAGAAAAACGTAGCATGATTTATTATTATTATTATTAAAGGTGCAACGGCTGTGGATGCATTGGCAAATGGTTACCGTGTTATTTTAATAGATGATTGTTGCCGAGGTGTCGACATGCGTGATATTGAAAAAACCAAAAATAATGTTATGATGAATAATGGCGTAATAGTAGAATCAACAAAGGTAAGTCACAAAAAAGTAATAAATCACGATTCGTTATAAAAGTGATAATGACACGATTTATGTGATAATTATTTGTTTTCACATTTAATCAAAAAAATTTTGTCCATCCGATGTTTATTTAAATTTAATTTTAAAGGTAAAAGCTATGGTGGAAGGAAGAGATCGAAGACCTGAATTAGGTTACAAATTGGCTATGGAATTAAAAAATTAATTACTGATTAGATAAACCGGATCATTTTAGTCAGCACCGTTTATTTTCTTTTTTTTTTCAAAATACAAAACACATTCTATATATAATTCTAGAAAATATTGTAAAAGGAAAAAAAAAAAAAAAAGAAAAAGTCATTCGTGTACAGAATGTTCAAATGCATTAAATTGGCATTTTTTTTTTATTTATATATAAAAATTACGTTTAAGTTTAATATTTTCTAAATAATCGAGAATCATACAGGAGTAGATTAAATTGTAATTTAAACGTTTTTTTTTTTTTTTTATAATTTATTTTATTTTACATCACACGAAAAATACAAATTTAAACTGCCATTTAGCATATTTATCAACGGGTAGAATAAAATAGTAAATTTCCATAACAATTTTTCACAGGTTTTTTTTTTTTTTTTTTTTATACATTCCGATTTAATACATAGAGAATTAAGCAGCTTTTTTCCCCTTAAAAGATGCTTAGAAGACATTTAAATAAATATATACATATAGTTCTTCTTATAAAGTACTTTTTTTGTTAATAAAAATTGTATTAAAAATAAATTTTTTGTACAAATAATTTTAATATGAGATTATCAATTTAATCTGCTTTGAATTTTTTTGTTTTTGTTTAATTTTGTTTTGTTTTGTTTTGCTCTTAACAATTTTTCTCTCTTTGATTAATTTTCAAATGATTTAGAATAATTATTTTTAAAAATTATTTACATAACTAATTACACATCATAAATTTATTTGAATGAAATGGAAAAGTATCTCTTCTCAATTTAAAAATTAATTAATTGTCAATTTCAATTTAAAAATTATCTAAAATGTAAATTTATTTAAATAACGTTATTTTTTTTTTTTTAAATTATTTATTTATTTTATTTTATTTTTAGTATTATTTATAGTGATTTTTTTTTTTAATTTTTAGTATGTTTTTCTGTGAATTAGTACAATTTAGTTTTTAATGTAATTTATAAAAAAATTTAGTGCATTTAAATATTTTTTTTATTATTAAATAATATCTCTTAACACAACTCCTGTTTAATATATATATATATAATTGATTTTAGTTTTTTTTTTAAAAAAATTAAATTAATAAAAACTAAATCAACTAAGGGTTGTTTTAATTAAAAAAAAAATTTTGCTTAGATTTATAGTTTTAAAAAAAAAAAAAAATGTTTAAATGAAAAATTTTTCTATTTTTGAAAATAATAATAAAAAAAATGGACGATTTTAATCGTCAAAAAAAATACATTTTTTTTGTATATTATTTAAAAAAAAAGACATTGTTTAATAATAATAATAATTTTTTTTTTTAACACCAAAGATTTGATAAAAAAGTTTTTGTTTTTAAATACTTAAATATGTTGTTTTAAATAGTTTTCTTATATTTGACTTAATTATTATTATTGTGATTTATTTTTAGTATATGAGTATGAGCTCTCTTTATATTTTAATAATAAAATATTAAATTGTAATCAACAATTAATCAACCAAAGACATTTTTTTTTTTTTTTTTTACTGTTTAAATATATGTAAATTTTTTTTTTTTTTTTAAATTTGCCTTTCATTAAATTTTATTTAAAATTTTGAACAGTATTTTTAAAGTTTGAGCTTTTTTTTAAATTTAAATTTAAATTTTTCAGCTTTAAGTTATAGTCAATTTTTTTTTTAAATTTTTTTTTGTATTTTTAACGTTTTCAAAATTAATTATTGTAATAAATAAATTAAAAAAATAAAATTTGTAATCAAAATTTTTATTTTGTTTAAATAATTAAGGGTGGGATTAACGTTTTTTTTTTTGTGATTTTTAATCATTATATATTTGTATGTATTTTTGCTTTAAAATACTTTTTGTGATTTTGTTTTATAATATTTAATTGTAAATTAAAAATTTTTGTAATTGAATTGTTTAGTTTTTTTTTTTTAACCTAACTCTTTATTGGATAAACATTATACTTTTTTCCTTTTTAAAGAAATATGAATACATAATTCAATATTTTTAGTAAAACTTAAACTTTAAAATACAACTTACCCTCTCTCATTATTATCATCTGCTTTAATTCCTTTTATAATTTGATAAAACCCCTCATTTAGAGCACAAATTAAGTTTTTTTTTTTTTTTTAAATTATTTTAATTAAATCCACACAAAAGTTTTGTAAATTTCAAAAATTTGTACATGTTCGTTTCTATTCCATCCAGGGCTACCAACTTTGTATTAAGTTGCAAACATGAAAGCTTACCTTAATGGTTCCTATTAGTATCACTTAACGTTGAATAGTTTTGTATTCAAAAAAAATGTTTCAAAAATGTACGGTTGCAAAATGAATAGTATGACTGATAATATTTCCGTTGAACCTGAGCAAGATGCTAATTCTGCATTGACTGAATTAGATAAAGGTATATATAAATAGTTAAAATTAAAGTTAAAAGACTTTGGCGGCTTTAAGTTACTGTATTTTAGGATTGTTTAAAATACTCATGAACATGAAAAGAAATTCATAAAAATTTTTAAAATGCTTGAAATCAAAAATTATGAATTAAAGATTTTAATAAGTAATTTATTGTTCTTTTTTTTTAATGATATTATTAGTTATTTATTTTTAAATACTTATAGTAAATACTTTGTTGCCTATATTTAAAATTTTATTAAAAATTATATTAGAGAACTTAAATTTTTTTTAAGATAATACTTTTTTTTTAATTTTTGATAAATTTTTAGGCTTAAGGTCTGGAAAAATAGGAGAACAATGTGAAGCAATTGTCAAATTTCCTAGATTATTTGAAAAGTACCCATTTCCAATTTTAATTAATTCATCTTTATTAAAATTAGCCGATGTTTTTAGAGTTGGGTAAGTAAATTTTTTTTTACTAGTGAATTTAATAATATTACATTCATAAATTTTTGCTTTTTTTTTTTTTATGCAGAAATAATTTTTTGAGAGTATGGGTTTTAAGAGTTTGTCAACAGAGTGAAAAGCATTTAGATAAAATAATGAGTGTCGATGAATTTGTTAGAAGAATATTTAGTGTAATGCATTCAAACGATCCTATTGCAAGGGCCCTGACTTTGAGAACGTTAGGAGCAGTAGCTGGTATATTTTTTCCTCAATGATTAAATTTAAAATTATATATAAATTTTAAAAATCTTATTAATATAATAAATTTTAGGAATTATTCCTGAAAGGCAACAAGTTCATCATGGTATAAGAAGAAGTTTAGATTCTCATGATGCTGTTGAAGTTGATGCGGCTGTGTATGCTGCAACACAATTTGCTGCTCAGTCAAAGTAAAAAATAATTTATAATACTTATCATAAATTGCAATTTGAATAAAAAGTTTATTAATAAATTTTTTTTTTTAAACTCTGTCATCAAATTTATAATTTTAGAAAATTTGCAGTAAGTATGTGTAATAAAGTTTCTGAAATGATTCAAGGGCTAGCAACTCCAGCTCATCGTAAACTTCAATTGATTCCTATTTTGCAACATATGCACCATGATATATCCACTGCAAGTATGGTGAGTTAAATTTTCATAAGTTTTTCATTTATGACATTCGAATAAAGTTGCTAAATAAACAATCATAATTTTTAGGTTCGAGTACTATGTACTCAGTTGTTAAAAAGTTATCCCGCTCAAGATTTTATCGTAGTTACTTTATCTGCATTAACTCAACTTACTGCTGCCACTTTAGTTGACATTCCTCAACAGGTAATTTGTACTTGGTCTTTTTGAAAACTTTTAATGCTTTAATATTTTAATTTAGCAAAAGAATATTTTTAGGTAAAATTATTAGTTTCTTATTTAAGAAATGATCAAAGATGGGCGATAAAAGCTGAAGCTTTGAAAGGATTACACAGGCTTGCCAGCGAAGGAGCTCATTTTTGGCCTCAGGATGCGATTGAAGATATAGTTGAAGTTGCACTAAACACTGATAAAAATCATCTGCTAAGTGCAACTTTAGATGTATTATTGGTTTTGACTAGAACTGCTTTAAGTTGTCACAATCATAATGATTCGAAATCATCTGTTGCAAAATTATGTAAACGATGCTACATAGCCGAAGATACAGTGATTTCTGCCAAAGCTATTCAAATCACAACTTCGATATATTGTTACAGGTTAACTTAATATTACTGCAACTTAAAATGGATATACATTTGTGATCTGTTTTACAAAAAAAAAATTTTTTTTTTTTTCATAGCTACGAAGAAAATCTTGTTGTGGATAAAGTAGATAAATTAGTCGATGCTATTGAATCTTTGTTTTTATTAGTTACTTTCGATGAATCTAATCCAAGATTATACGAATTAAAAGCTTGCCTGAAATGTGCTGTTAGGTTATGCAAGGCATGCCCAGAATTATCTCATCAATTTGTTAAAATTATAGCGACTAGACTATTTTTTTCAGGTATAAATTATTTTTAATTTGACATTCGTTACCATAAAAAATAATTTAATGTTTTTGTTTTGTTTGCAGACATTTGTAATTCGTTATTGTGTGAAGCTCTCGGAGCAATAGGTGGCCTTCAACCTAGTGCTCTTAAAATAATATTAACAGATATAATTAAAAAATTAAGTAGTTTTTCAGAATTGGAAGAATTAACTCCTGATCAAATACATACAAAGGTAGTTGAAAAAAAAAAAAAAAAAAAAAAATTTTAAGTAAGATACGAAACGAATTAACTTGAAATTAATAAAATTATTTATTTTGTTAAGGTCTTGTTATGTACGTTATTGTTTCAATGTCAAATAGGATCGGAATGGAATTTAGAATTAAAAAATGCTGTTAGACTTGCATGTAAAGGATGTCATTATTGGTCTAATTATAGGATAGCAAGGGCAGCATGCAGGTAAGGTACTGTGTGTTTATTTTCATTTTGAAATTTTTTTCAAAGAGTCAATTAATTTTTGTTGTTGTTCGAAATATTAGGTACGGTCATCACGAAATTAGTCACGAAATATTTTCTGTTGTAAAAGATCGAGTGTCATCCGAGCATTACTATTTTTGGCTAACGAGTTTAGAAGAATTAAGTAAAGGCGAATCTTTTTTGTCTTCAAAAGACGATTTGGTTACCAAATTGTCAACATCTTTAACTCATTGCAGTAAAGCTTTGGCTTCTCTCAGAGTAAAAAAATAGAAATATTTATATATAAGTTATATTTAAGTTTTTTTTTTTTTTGTAAAATACGTTTATGAATGATTTTATTAGGCTGCCAGTACTCCCTCGCAAACTTTAACTTTTCAAGCTGAATACGTTAGGGTTAGATGTGAATTTTTGCAATGTCTTTTACAATTGGTGCATGCTGGAAGAGCCTTGTGCACCGCTCCACCTCCAGCCATAGCTGCTGCAATTGTTGCCAGTACAAGAGATGAACTACAGAGATACGGCCACGTAACTCAGCAGGTTATTTTTTTTCTTTTAATCTCATTTTTATAATTAATTGTAAACTTTTTTTTTCTGTTTTCACAATAATTAATTTATTTTCAGTTGAGAAAATGCGTGAAGGAATTTCGTGGCTGCGGTGAATCATATCAAAAATTATATCAATCTGCATTCGATGCGGATCCGGAGTCGTTGAAAAATATACAAATTTATCAACAAATGTGTTTTTTAATGTCGAACAGCGTGGAAAGAGTTTGTCAGTTAAATTCACAAGAAGATTTCGTGCTCGATTTCAAGTAAATAAATTTAATCGAATTATTCGAAACGGTAAAACTAACCCAATAGGCGTATATTTCAAAAAAAAAAAAATTTAATTGATTTCAGCGGTAAGGAAAACAGTTTGGAAATACAATTTTTAATTTCTTGCTGTCACGAAGCGTTAAAATTAGCCGAACCCATTTTAACGAATAAAGAATTAAAACCGATAACTCATCAACATATCAATGCGTTGATACAACAAGTCAAAATATTAGCCGAAACTTCTTTGTTTATCCCACGTTATTTCTTTCAAACTCTTCAATCGACGAGCGTCAAGGTAAATAATTATTTTTGTTATTTAAATTGCCGAAAATTTATTAAAATTCCATCATGATGTATATTTAAAAAAAAATTTTTTTTTGTTCAGTTGAATATATCTCCTCAACCGAGAGTCGTCGGAGAATCGGTAAGCGTTCAAGGTGGATCTCATTTGGCGGTTAAAGTCGAAGGCGTGATAATACACGATGCACGTCCCGGAATTTTCCGAAAAGCTGCGGAAATCGTCATCACTTTGGTATCGCAACTCCAAGCTCGACAGCACTCGACTCAAATCGATAACAAGGTGCGTACCTTAAATTTTTTTTTTTTTTTCATTCTTTAAATAAAAAAAATTAAACTAAACCCAAAAAAATATTAATATTTGTGTTTTTATGTTTGCTAGCCTGCCGACATAAGTTCCGTCGTAACTCAAACCGTTACGCCTCATAAGGATTTTTTCACCGCTCAATTTTTGCTCGCCTTCACCGTAGGTGGTCAATATTCGCTTTCCGTCGAAGCGGCTATCGCCGATGAAAATGGTCACGTTTGGAAAACTGGTCCCAAAGTGACGTTGGCCGTGAAATCTCACGAAGATAATAATAATAAATCGACGAGCGTTCAAAACGCCACGAGGTCATTCACCGGACCGAGATTTTAATAATAAGGTATTTGTAACTTTTCTTTAAAAAATTTTTATGTGAATCCGGAAAATTTTATATTTCGGTATCGGATAAAATTTTAATTCGTTTTATATTAAGTAATACTATTATAATCCCCCCTCGATCCCCCGGTTTTTTTCAATAATTTAATTTCTTTAATTATCATGTCGTGGCTTACGGCTTTACACATGTCGTATATCGTCAAAGCCGCGATGCTAACCGCGGTCAGAGCTTCCATTTCGACTCCGGTTTTTCCATCGCACGCAGCTTTTGCCGTTATGAACACCGAATCGCCTGAAAATAATAATAATAATAATATTATCATTGTTAATTTAAAAAAAAAAATTCGAAAAGGTTTACCACTACCACCACCTTGTAACTCGGTTTCCACTTGAACGTTATTCAAAGGTATATTATGACAGAGAGGAATGAGTTCACTCGTTTTTTTAGCTCCCAATATCCCTGCGATTTTTGCAACGGACATGGCATCCCCTTTTTTGAGATGGTTCATCTCTATTAATTGTCTTATTTCGGGTCCGACGTAAACGATTCCCGAAGCGATCGCAGTTCTCGTTGTTATTCTCTTGTCACCCACATCCACCATTTTGGAATTTCCTTTTTCGTCAACGTGAGTTAATCGATTGCTTGCGAAAGTTCTCGAAAAATGAAAATTATGAATACTTGAACGGAATAAGTGTGAAAGATTTAAATTGTTTAAATGTTTACTTCCGGTATCGGTTTTTGATTTCCTCACTAAAAAAATAAAAAATTTTATGACGTAATTTTAAAAATATTAAAAAAAAAAAAAAAGTTTAAATTTTACATTGAAAAAAATTTTCCAACGATTTTCTCACTTGCCATTTATTATAAATAATTGTGAAAATCGTGTAAAAATCAATGGTAGTCGTCGAAATGAAACGGGGGGCGGGGGGAGGGGGGAAAAGAAAATTCCAAAACACTTTTTAAATTTATAGGAATTTGATAATTAAGAAATTAAATTTTTCATTATTTATTTATTTATTTATTTATTTAATTTGTTTGAAATTTATCCTCCTATTAATATCATCGGTCGATTTTTCATTTGTGCCAAATTAAACATACCTGAAACAAGAAAAAGAAAAAGAAAAAAAATGTTTTTTGTCCATTCCGCTTCCATTTCCCGCCCCCCCGGGGTTTTTAACGTTTGTTTCTTATGGAAGAAAACAAAGGATGCAATTAAATAAATAGGAAAAATAATTAAGAACGTCATTAACCCCCCGAGAAACATTAGGCAAGTTGAAAGATTACCTGCGTGTTGTTTTTTTTTCCTTTTTACCGCTGCCGATATGAGAGATATTAAATCATTTTCACTGCAATCATTTCTCAGTGCATCCCTGAAAGAAAATTTTTTCTTTATTTAAACCAGAAAAAAAAAAAATGAAAATGAAAATCAAAAATCGTTTGTCGTTGCCTCAAAGAAATTTCCGTATTTCCAAACAAGCAAACTTTTAAATTTCCATCGGCGGTTAATCTTAAACGATTGCAAGATCCGCAAAAATGTTCACTCATAGACGTAATAAAACCGATTTGACCTTTGAAATCCGGGATTTTGTAGCTCTGAAACAATTTTTTTTTTTTTCAACGTAGTAAAAAAATTCGAGAGAGGTTTTTCCTTATCGATTATTTCGGAATCGTATTCCTTTTTAATGATTTTGTACCTTTGACGTGTCGTTAGGTCCGTCAGGCATCCTCGTGAAATCCGGATATTTTTCTCGTATCATTTCGATCATCGAATGATACGGTAGGAATTTTTTCCCGGTCCATTTATTTCCGTCAAAAGGCATGTATTCGATAAATCGCACGTCGAGATTTCGATATTTCGTCATGTCAACGAAATCGATGATTTCGTCATCGTTGAAACCTTTCATGACGACGCAATTGATCTAAAATTAAAAAAAAAAAAAAAAATGAAAACATAATATTACAATTCTATAGGCAGTTAAGAAAAAAAAAAAAAAATCGATCGTCGTTGTCACTTATTGAAACGTCATCAATTATTGATTTGAAAATGAATGACGTCATTGATTGACTGATTGTTTGTTAACTAAACAAACCTTAACAGGGTCGTATCCCAATTGTATAGCTAAATCAATGCCGGCCATAACTCTTTCCCAACCTTTTCTCCTCGTTATTTCTTCGAATTTTTTCGATTTTAACGTATCCAGGCTTATGTTTAATCCATCCAAACCGGCTCTTTGAAGTTCGACCAATTGTTTTGTTAGTACGAGACCGTTGGTCGTGATTGAAACTCCTTCTGTTAATCCTTTTAATTTTTTCAAGCCTCCTGCAAACCATGAGAGAGAACGTTAACGGTTTTGATAATGGAACATAAAGTCGTAGAATTATTATTATTATTTAAAAAAAAAAAACTCACTTATTAGGGCAGAAAGGTCTTTTCTTATCGTTGGTTCTCCCCCCGTTAATCTTATTTTTTTAATTCCTTGTCTGACAAACAATTCGGATAGTTTTAAAATTTCATCTGTCGTTAATAGATTTGATCGATGAGATAAATGAACTCCTTCCTCGGGCATGCAATAATTACCTGATTGATTGAATTATTTATTTTTAGTATCGTTAACGAACTATCTTATCGGATAAGGCAAACGAACAAACGTAGAAATAATAATGAAATGAATAATTTTAAAGAATGTAAAACTTACAACGTAAATTACATTTTTCCGTTAGTGAAATTCTCAAGTACGTGTGAAAACGTCCAAAATTATCCGTTAAAGGATGTTTTTGTGCTGCATCGTCGACTTTTTTCCCCTTTTCGAATCACGAAAAATAAATAAATAAGTAATGATGATAAAAAAATCAATTTAAATTTAAAAATTTTCCATTTTTGTTTTTTCATTTAGCATAAAATATAAAAAAAAATTTTTGTTCTACCGTTTGAATTGTTGATTCAGACGTTGGCACCACTGCTGACGATGACGATGACGACAACGATGACGCGGACGACGCCGACGCCGGCGACGACTTTAACCGAAAATAAATTTTTGAAATGTTTAGTCTATTTCGTAGCAACATTTTTAATTATATTACATAAACTTTTTTTGTGTTATTTTATTATTAAATACCAAAAAAAAAAAACTTTAATTGTTATTTTATTCACGCGAAAGCACAACACAAAACTCACTAAAAGTTTTCAAACGAATTTAAATACCTTTAAAAAAAAAGTAAAAGAAAAAAGAAAGGAAAAAAAACGCTTGCGCGTCCGCCATTAAATGCTAACGTTCTCGGTCGTCTGTAATCGAAGTGGTAAAAAAAAACAATTATAATCCTTTTCGAATTGAAAATTCTATATTAACTTCATTAATAATAAAAAAAGAAACATTTTATAAGTAAAACAAACGAACACTAATAATTAATTAACTTTTTTTTTTGTTTTTAATTCTTTCAAGAAACAAAAGAATAAATATTCTTTTATATATAAATTTAAATTTTTTTTTGGTACCCGTCGACTAACTAATGATGGGTCAGACTAAAGTTAATTAAAGAATTTAAAAGTCGTTTGGAAAATTGTTTTTTTTTTTTTTTTTTGGCATGTAGATAATATTATTATTATTATTAAATTTAACACTTGTAATCTTTTAGAATACAAACATGGTGGATTCATTCAAGGTTTTTTTTTTTTTTTCAATGCCTTGCAAAAATTATTCTACAGTGAATCTTTTTCATATTTTTTGTGTTAAAATATCAAAAATGTGAATATTTTTATAAGATTTAGTATTATTATTATTATTATTTTATGAAAATAAATATTTGCTGACTTTGTTTTGATGTTAGATTAATTAAAGATTATTTGTTTTTGCTGAGTTTGAATTTTAAAAAAAAAAATTTTTTATTTAATTGAAAATGCCATAATTGTTTACAATAATTATTGATTTGTAATGTTTTTGTTATTGTTTTAGATGAATTGACAGTAAAATGGGAAAATTCTATACATGATAATAATAATAATTTTATTCATGATGATGATATGAAGATGAAAGAAATGTATAATAAATATTTTGTTTTTTTTTTTTTTTATTTGGAAATAAAAAATAAATTTGTAAATAATAATTTTTAATTGAAAATATTATTTGAGATTTAAATAGTTATTTAAATAAAAAAGTGAAAGTTTGATGATGAAATAAGATTTATTTGATTCATTTGTTTGTTTCACCATTCACAATATTTACTACAAGTAAAAAATTTGCTGTGGAAAATTTTAATTTAATAATTAAAATATAAAAACAAAATAAAATTAAGAATGATAACACTTTCTTATCATTAAATAGAATCTATTAAAAGTGACACTTTTACATTAAAATAAAAAAAAAAAAATTATGTTTTAATAAGTATACATAATTTCAGGATCATAGAATTATTGACCCACATTGGTTTATATTTTTAATTTGACATTGAAAAAAAAAAAAAAAATGGAAAGAAATTCAATAAAAATTCTTTTGAATTGATAAAATAAAAAAAATTGTTTTTATCATGTAATAAATAATAATTAATGTTTTTAGTTTTTAAATTATTTAAAATTAAAATTATTAAAAAGATTTAAAATTTTTACCTGAAAGTTTAGGGTAACGTTACACTTCACTGGACAACACTCTACGATTTTAAAAATAACAATAATTATTATATTAACCGGTAGTAATATTCGTAAAGAAATTTATTTTTAAATAAAAATTTAAAGAATTTTCTATAATTAGAAATTAAAATAAAATAAATTGATAATATTTTATCAATATAAATAATTACGCAGCAGCGCTACATACATAAATTTTAAATATTTTTTTTCCCGCCATATTTGGCAAATTCTGCCAACTTATTTTATTCATATAGTTTAATTATTCGTACTATTCGTTTGAAAAATTGATAAAATGTGTTTTTTACAATGATAAGACTTAAAGTTTTTTTTTTTTCTTTTTTTTTTTTTTTTTTTAAATAATAATAAAAAGCAACATGAAAGAAAATAAGAAATGATTTTTTTTTTTTAAAAAATGAATACAGTTTTTCTCTTTTAAAAACTCACCGTTTTACAAAATGATATTCATTACCGACCGATTGTTCACAAATGTTGGCTGTTTTAAAATAAAAATTACAGTTTCGGTTTTGCTCACAATTAAGAGACAGGATTTCAGTATGTTTTCTATTTTCAGTAGTGATGTATATAATTAATATTTTCTAAAAATAATTTATTACAATATGGAGCCGGACATATCAACTAAATCTTCAAACGAAATATTAACTGAATTATTTGGCGCTTTCAATGCCGAACCCCCCGATTTGAAAGAAAAATCTCAATCGAATAGTAAAAAACATAGTTCAAAACACAGTAAAAAAAAATCTAAAAAAAAAAGTCATTTGAAAAAATCTAAAAAAAAAAATAAAAGTAAAGATAAAAAGAAAAGGAGGCATTTAAATAGTGATACAGAATCAGAATCAGAATCAAATCATGTCAAAAAGAAAAAGAGTAAAAAAAAAAAAATTAAAAAAGAATTTTCATCACCTACAAGTGTTAATATTGAATTACCTGTTAATAAAGTTCCAATGGCTTTGGAAATAATGTTAGATGGAACTGTTGGTATTAAAGGAGAAGATGGTGTTATTACTAAAGTTCAAGATATATGTCAAAGTGACAATAATGTTTGTGAAAATAATACGGAGGACATATCGAATAACATTAATGATTGTTCATTAAATATTGTTGATGAAGTAGATACTGACAAAAAATTTGAAATTGTTAATTCTCTTAACAATAATAATAATAATAATGATAGTAATAAAGAGACTGAAGAAAAAAAAAATGAATCGAAAATTTTGCAGTTGTTTGAAACGGATTTCATCGAAACAGGTCAGCATTTAAATTAAATTTTAATTGTCTAATTAGAAAAAAGTTTTTTTTTTTTTTTACTTAAAATATGTTTCAGGAGATAAAAAAAAAAATAAAAAAATTCAAATTAAAGATCTTAAATTCAGTACAGTATTTCAAGAAACTGTTAAAGCTGTCGAAGAAGAAAAGAAAAAAAAAGAAGAAAGTCATGAAGAAGGAGAGTTGACAGATTCATCAGCTGATGATCAAAGTATTGGTAAGATGTTAATTTTTACTATTATTATTATTATTTATAATTTTTTAAATTTAATTAATTTCATAATTCAAATTATCGAGTTATTTGTATTTTAATTTTAGGTAGCAGCAAAGAAAAATTGAAAATTAAAGATCGTTCCAGGCGCAAGCATTCGAGTAGTTCGAGGAGTTATCATAAAAAACATAACTCGGAACATTCAAGGGTAATAAATGACATAAATTTACATGAAAGAATATTTTGTTGTAGTTTATAATAATAATTCATTTAATATTTTATAATTTAACACTAAAATTAATATTTGTTTTCAGAGGAGAAAATATTCGGAATTGAAATCAAGGTCTAGGTCTAGGTCAAGATCTAGATCAGACTCGAGATTAAAAAGTTACTATAAACGTTGTACAAAGTGTAAATCACATAAATGTAGATGTAGAAAATATAGATCTAGCTCTAAGGAACACCATTATTATACAAAACAAAGTTTTACAAGGTCTGATTTTACTCATTGTATAAAAGTTATTTTACAAGTTTTCTTAAATGTTTTCGAGTAAATAAAAAATTCAATTATATTTAAGGTCAAGGTCAAGGTCAAAATCAAAGTCAAGAGATAGGTCTTTGGAAAGAAGAAAATCAAGATCTAGTCAAAAACCTAAAGAGTCAAAACATCACATTAAAGATGAAAAGGATGAAGTTGTGTAAGTTTAATTATTGATAATTTTTTATTAATTAATACACGTGAGATTTTAATTATATTGTAATAATTGTAAAAAAAAAAAAAAATTGCAGATTAAATGAAGCAGTAGAAAAAATAGACAAGGAAAAATTATTGGCGATTGCGAGAAAAAATGCATTGAAATTAATCGATGCCGGTGTTGTACCAGGAGCAGAAAAATTAACCGCCATAAAAGCTGGAGGAAAAACCGTTAATGAATTGACTGGTAAATAATTATTAAATAAAATTAGGTTAATATAAGCGAAGAAATGGGCTAAATAAAAACAAATTTTTTAGAATATTGTAAGAAAATATCAGAAAAAGAAGCTCTCGGTGATGGTATTAGTGATATTGAAAGCGAATCGAGCGATGACGAAGAAAAACTTTTTCATCATCCCTTTCAAGTTCGTGATCGACCCAACAGTATTATCATGAACATAAAGGTATTTATAATTATTTTTTTTTTTTTAATTAATAAATCCATTGATCCATTACACTCCAAATTTAAAATTTAAAATTTGAATAAAAAATTAACTTTTTGTTTTTTTAGAATTCGATACCTTTACCAGTAAAATCCCTTCAAGAAAAAGCAGCAGAACAAGCAAAACAGTTAAGATTACAATTTCCGGTTTCCAGCGGTTCATCCCACAGGCGAAACGGTCTGTAATAAAAAAAATTGAAGTTTTTGAAAATTTGAATAAAAATTGTTTAAATTAATCACAATTGATTGATTATCTTTACAGAAAGCGAATGGGTACCCGTTTCGCCTAAAAAAGAAGAAACTACTTTTACGCCTTCCGTTACGCCCATGGTATCCAAACCACCTCCCCCGCTACCCATCGAAGCTCCAATACCTACGTCCATTCCTCCTCCTCCTATACCTGTAGTTCCTTTCATGCCTTCGGTTCCTCCTCCCGATTTTCAAAACAGATCCAATTTTCCAATGATGCAGTTTAATCATCCCGTAAGTTTTATTCCTTATTATTTTTTTCCAGAATAAAAAATAATTAACGTCCCTGATTAAAATGTATTTATTTTTATATTAAAATTTTAGCCGCCTAAATTAGACATAAGTTCAATAGTGTCAAAGAGATTGGAAGCCATAAGAAAATTACAAGAAAATCCACACGATTCACAAGCTCTTACTCAAATGTATAGTGCCCAGCAAGAGGTATTATTATTATTATTATTATTATTATTATAAACTTTTGTTATCATTATGGATTTGTTATGATGATACCATTCTTTATTCAGATGCAATATTGGGCGGAATCAAAACAGGAAACGGGTGCTTTTACCGGAAGCACTGGAGTCAAAGTTTTATCTCCATCAGAACTTTGTTTGGGAGCTCAAGCATGGGCAAGACGTGTAAGTTTTTTTCAAATTAAGAACAAAAAAAAAAAAAAAAGAATGCGGGCATTTTAAAACTTGATTATTCTTATTAAAAACGTTAATCATAACTTTTTTTTTTTTTGTGGTTTTTATTTTATATGAATTTTTTTTCGAAAAATTTATTTATTCATGCGGTAAAAAAGAAAACAAACGGGAAAACTTTTTTTTTTTTTTTTTTTTTTTTTCGGTATTTGCCCCCCGACAAATTCCCAGTAATGAACATTTAAAGGTTTTGCGTTTAAATTTAATTTTTATTAATAATTTGAAATATATATAAATAAATAAATAATAGTTTTTAATTCGTAAAGCCTATGTGGTACTTTCGTAAGCGTACTCAGCCTCGTAATCCCTTCCCCGTTGTTGGGAATACGAGGCTGGCATTCCTGAGAATCTGTTACAGGGATATATTTATATTATTGACATTGATGGTATCTCATGTGTCTCTTCGATGCCGAAGCTCAATGTATCAACCCACAGCACCTGTGCTGGAATGGAGTTCCCGTTGATGATGATGCTGCTTATCGGGATTTTCATCACGGCGGCTGGGTACGTTTGAAAAAAAAAAAAAAAAAAAAAAAGATATATCGTGACGGAAGAGGAGTGATTTTCCTCTGATAAGAGGTCGTTTAGAATAAAGTCCCTCTTCTCCCTCCCTCCCTCCCTCCCCCCCCATTAAATTTTTCATAAAAAAAAAAAAAAAAAAAACGTTTTTAATGGTGAAATTTTTTTTTCAGTTATTAATTTTCTAGTACGATATATGATTCAACAATGATCTCTCTCATTCGAATTCTGATAATTAATTATTTATTAAATAAAAAATTTCAAGAGTAATTGTTAATGACGTCATTAAAAATTTAAATTTCGAGGAAGAGGGAAAAATAACATAACAGTTATTCATATTGTCGTTTCAGATTTTTTTTTTTTTCTTTGGATAAAAAAACATTGTAAAACTAAAAAAAAAAATATACAAATTTTAAATACAAAAAATAATTGATTATTATTATCATTATAATTATTATTATTATTATTATGTAAATTTAATTTGGTTTGGTATAAATTGTTTTAGGATCAGTTAAAATGTGCTACACCAGTTACTGGTGGCATGGGAATGACTTTACTCCAGAAAATGGGTTGGCAACCGGGTGAAGGTTTGGGAAAAAACAAGGAAGGAACTTTAGAACCTTTAAGATTAGAAGTAAAAATGGATAAAAAAGGTAAATTGATAATTGTTCAGTTTTTAAATTGATTGTGAAGAGATTTTATTTACTCGGTGTAAATTTCAGGTTTGTTAGCTCCTGATGAATTTCGTAAAGGGAAAAAACCTGCCAATTTTACTGTAGGAGCTCCTGCTCAAGTAATTAAAAATTTAGATGGTGAGAATGTTTTTTTTTTTTTTTTAGTATTTTTTTTTTTTTTCAAATCATTTATTTATAACAAATATATGTGATAAATAAACTGATTTGTTTTTTTACAGGAAAGCATCCGGTTTCTTTATTAAACGAACTTTGTAGCAGAAGAAAATATGGAACTCCACAATTTGAACTTTGTTTTGAATGCGGACCAGATCATAAAAAAAATTTTTTATTTAAGGTATAAATTTATAGTTTTTTTTTTACTTAAAATTATTATTTTTTATTAAAAATATTAATAATAAGTAAAATAATATATAATAATAAGTAATATAATATTAAAATAAGTAAAATTTTTAATAGGTGATAGTTAACGGAGTCGAATATACGCCTACCATTGCCAGTCCTAATAAAAAACAAGCTAAAGTAGAAGCGGCTGCAGTTTGTCTTCGCGCATTGGGAATTATTCCTAATAATATTTAATTATATTAATTAAGCGACAGTTAAAATAAAGTAAATTTTATTAATATTTTTCTATCAAATAAATTTTTAAATGACCCATTCCCATTTTAAAATTTTAAATGTTACCGTTAGAAAAGTGCAATTAACCACCTCCTTTTTTTTTGTCTATTGACACGTACACGTATTTGTGATTCATGGAACAAATTTTAACGGTCAAAACATTCTAGTTTGGTTTTTTTATTTTCAAATGTAATACTATATAGTTATAAAAATATTAAAAATATTATCTCGTTTTAATTATGAGACCGACACAGTATTTTTACAACAAAAATTCAAAATTGGATTCTACCGGTATACCTTTAAATACAATGAAAGCAAAGGATTTTGATACGTTAATCACTGGTAAATATTTATGATTTGATTTTAATTAATTAAATGAATTGCTTTTAAATATGACAATAATTTATTGAATTAATAATAAAAAAATCACTGGTGATGTGAAATTTTGTAATTATTCTTAAAATATATTGAGAATTAAGAAAAATAAAAGCAAAATGTCGTACACACTATAAAAGGGATTGGAATTTTTTTGAATTTGGTAAAGGTTTATTGATAAAGTTTACAATTCTTTATTTTTAAAATATGTAATATTTATGAAGATAGTATTAAAAATAAAATCATTGTGCTATGTAATTTATAGTAGATAATATATAATAGTAACATACAAGATAATTTATGGTTGTAAGATTATAATACTCTATTGAGAAAATTATTTAATTTAGGAAAAAAAAGTTTACCTCCTACAAAATTTAGAGAAGGAAGCCAAATATTTAAAATACCTGATTCAAATGCATTACCAATGAAAAAGCAAACTTATAAATCTGGATTTAGTCCATTACGAAGAGTACGTTTAGGAAGAGTTACACAAGATTCGAAGGTAACTAAAAAATAATAATATGTGAATCGTAGATTTATAAAAAATTTTAAATAATAATTATTTTAACTTAATAGTGAACAATAGAGCATTTCTTAACAAAGGTAATTTTTTAGATAAACAGTAAAAAATTCTCATTGAATAATTTTTTTTTTTTTTTTTTTTCAGTCAATGCAAAATCCAAAAATGAGTTTTCGTCCTCATTTTTTAAATTCCAATGCAAAATCATTTTCATCCACAAATACGAGTAAACAGTTAAGAAAAGAATTGGTAGAAAAAATGGTTTTTTTAGCAGAGAATGCTTTAAAAGAAAATAAAGGAGAATATAAACAATCAACTCCTATAAAGCCCATACCAAAGTTGACCCCGAAAAAAACTCCAAAATCCAGAAGTTACATATTGTTGCCAGAATTTGTTAAAAAAGTGCCAGATATAAATGAAATGAGAACCCCTGTGAAAAATTTAATTAAAAAAGAAGTATTTTGTTCATCTGTAAAAAAAACTCCCTCGAAAAAAACACATGCACAAGAAGATAAAAATAAAAAAAATGTTTTACAAAATCCATTGGAACTTGATAATAGTTCTTTATCAACTTCGATTGCCAAGGATGTTATCATAAATGAAATTGGAAATTTTTTTCAATCGTATAACAGTAAAGTAAATTCATTATTTGAAAAATGTATGTCTGTAGACGATAATTTTGAAGAAGAAGTGAAGAAACTTCCAGAAGGTGAAATTTATGATAAGTTTTGCTTTTATCAAGCGGAAAAAGAAGTTATATCAAAAGAATTAATTGAGTTAGATGAAAAATTTGCATGTTCTCTTAAAGAAAAAAAACAAAGTAATGAAAAATTATTGGAATTTATTAATGAAAATCGAAAATTATTCGAAAAACAATTGGGAGTTCATAAAAAATTTGAAAAATCAATTTCGTGTATTTTAAAAAATTACAAAACAAATAATAAATGTGAAAAAAAAGAAAATAATGATTTAGAGGAATGTTCAAAACTTATTCCTAGTAGTAAACAAGAGGAAACAAAAGATTTTTTAAACAAGATTGAAAGTTTTGAAGAAAAAAATAAACCTGTACTTCGAAGATCACTTAGATTGTCGAAACTTCCGAGAAAAATAACAGAATCAACTCCGTCTAAAAAAAAATTATCACATGTGAATAGTAAATCTAAAAATATTTTAAAATCAAAATATTCTACAAGAGTAAAATCTAAAATTTAAATTTTAATTAATCATTATTAAATTTAGGAAATTATTAATAACAATAAGTATCATATATATAGATATCACATGTTGCAATTTTTTTGTTAATAATATATGTAACCTTTTGTGAAAACAAATTTTTCATCATTATTAAATTAAAATTTATTTATTTAAAAGAAAAATTAATAAATAAATAAGAGCAAAGTACTCGTAGGTAGTATTCTACGTATGTTCAAATAAAAATTTTTATATTTAATCTTTTTATATTAATCATACAATTATATTGTTCATGTAATAATTTTATTCGAGAGCTTTAAAGCTTGTATTAATGGCTGCACTAATTTTTTTAACAGTTTCTCAGCTTATTTTCTTATTAAAATTCTTTCCTTTTATTATTATATTTTTAAAAAAAAATTGTAAATAAAATTAATTTTAATATTAAATATGATAAAATATTTTTTAAAAATGTATTTGATCATTTTTGTTTTATTATCCTAATCTATTTATGAAATGTATTAAGTTTAATTTTATAAAACTTTTATTAGAAAGTAGTTTAGTTTTTTTTTCTTTTTTAAACTTTAAAATCTAAGTGAAACTACAGAAATTTTAATTTACAAAATGTTGAATAAAATTTAAAAAATAGATTCAATGTAAAATTATAGAATTCAAAATCATTCGGAAAAAAGTTTAAATTAGAAAATTAAATAAATTTTCCAAAAAAAAATTATGAATAACTTTTAAATATTTTACATGGTAAAGTGTCGTGGAATTAGAATTCTTTCATACGTGATGCATACTTGTCTTACTAACACAACTACTCCTAAAAATGGCGTTTGTATGTTTAGGTCTTACATTTAAAATTTACAAATTTACGAATCCGGATATTATTTAAGCATTTTTTTAAAGATTTTATGCAGTTTTTATAATCGAAATGAGTGAAACATAATCGTTATAAGTTTACCGGGTGTATAGTTTTGTTTGAATTTTTAAATTTGAGTTGTTTCCTTTATGTCAATGAACTCTATTATTTTATTACCCAAGCCTCTTTAAATTATCAGCGGTGAAAATGTTGTAAATAGTGAATTAAATGCAGATGTTGACGAAGAGAGGTAAAATTTTAAAATGGAGACGGAATCCGTCAAATCCGCCTTGAGCGATCAGAGTTCGAAATCTCGAAAGTCCAGACGCAGGAATAGTCATAAAAACCATTCCTTAAGAAGTACTAGAAGTCGTAAATTAGACAACGGTATGGCCCCTTTTCAAACTGCTGTAACTCTAAATGATGATTCTAGAGATGGACAAGAAGTTATCGAAGTTCAAATTCTGCCACAGGTTCCATTAAATTTTTCTTATTGTTTTCTTTTATCTTGCCAAAATTTTATATAGAAAAATTAATGATAAAATAATATTTAAGGATGAAAATTGGGGAGAAAATACAACTGCTGTCACTGGGAATACTTCAGAACAATCAGAATCACTAGAAGATGTAAGTCAGTGGGCCAATGACAGCGACACAGGGTTTGGGTTTGCCTGTCAAAAATTTATTACAACCACCTTGACTGGATTTATTTCTGCTGCAGCATTTTTAAGTCCTTTAGCAATGGTTGTCCTTCCAAAAATCGGTTATTATTTTTCTATATATATATTTAAGTTTTATATTTATTTAATTTTTATACATTTTGTTTAATGTAAAAATTGAATTTTTAGGTGTTTTTAGTGCTTTAAATCCTGCAAACACTGTTAGTCAGCAACACAGATTAGCTTTATTATCTTGCGGAGCAGAGTGCAAAGGTTTATTAGTTTCTTTAGCATTTAAGTTAGTTCTTTTGGCTGCTGGTGCCTGGGCAGTTTTTCTCAGGGGAGCAGTTGCAACAATGCCTAGGATATTTTTATTTAGAGCTGCCGTATTAATTTCAGTATTTGTGTGCACTTTTACTTATTGGCTTTTTTATATCGTTCAGGTAATTATTTAATTTCAATTCAATACTACACAGTTAAAAATTTTAACAAAATTTATTATTCTATCGTTTGTTTATTTACAGGTTACTGAACAAGCTGCACTTGCCTCAGAACCTGATGCTGTAAGGTATTCATCTCTTGTGTCTTATGCTAGCAGTTTAAACGATACACTCCTGTTTATTTTATTCATAGCCGTTGTGTTACTAGAAATAAAACATTTACAACCGACTTATTATATCAAGGTAAAATATAAATATTTCATGTAACATGTACAATAATAAAATTTATTTGGAAATAACAAAATTTTTTTAATTTTGACTAAATATTTTCAGGTTGTAAGAAGTCCAGATGGTGAAAGTAGATCTTATGCAGTTGGTCAACTTAGTATTCAAAGAGCTTCCGTTTGGATTCTTCAAAAGTATTACACTGAATTTTCAATATATAATCCATATTTAGAACGCCTTCCGGTTTCTAAATCTCGAAAAGGAAATGGTTCAAGCTTTAAGTTTTACGAAGTCGATGGGGTTGCCAACAACACATTACAAGTAATATTTTATTTTAAAATTTTTACCTCTTTGAATCAATTCTTTTATATATTACATAATAATAGAAGATAGGATAAATAAAAATAAAAATTGTATGTTTTGTTTATTTAAACAGAATAGCCAATCAAGAGCCATGTTGGCAGCTCATGCTAGAAAAAGAGATTCAAGTCATAACGAACGTTTTTACGAAGAACACGAATATGAAAGAAGAGTCAAAAAAAGGCGAGCCAGACTTGTGACTGCTGCTGAAGAAGCTTTCACACATATAAAACGATTACACAACGATCAAGGTAAGAAATTACAATTTTTTGCTTTACTTAAGAGGAGTAAATCATTTATTTTAAACGAATGAAATTTCAGTGCCAGGAATTCCAATGGATCCCACCGAAGCAGCTCAAGCAGTATTTCCCTCTCTCTCGCGAGCTCTTCAAAAATATCTACGGGTAACTCGTCAACAACCTCGTCACACCGTCGATTCAATATTGAGTCATTTGGCCATGTGTTTGAGACACGATTTGACTCCTAGAGCTTTTCTCGAACCATTTTTAGTGCCTGCACCCGTCATGCAAAACGAAAAAGAACAAAAACCCGTTCAATCTTGGTCTCTTGTGTGCGAAGAACTTCTCTCACGTCCTCTCAGACACGGTACGACGTTTCAATTGAGGCAGAATGACGTTTCACTTCTGTGTCAAGTAAGAACATTGCCACATTTTCACATAATCGAAGAAATCATGGATCCAAAATCTAATAAATTTGTTTTGCGAATAAATTCAGAGACTTCCGTTTGATTTTGGTAAACAAAAATAATAATAATAATAATAATTAACTTTAGGTGATAATTTTTTTTTTTTTTAAAACAAAAGCAGCTTGCATACAATGTTAAAAATTTTATAAATACTCGATAATGATATTTGTGGAGTTATAAGACTAATATTACAGTAAAAATTATTCATTAATTATTTAAAGCATCACAAAGCATTTATTTTAAGCTTAAAAAAAAAAAAAAAAAAAAACTTTTAGTACATAATACTCATAATAATAATAATAAAAATAATAAATTAAGAGTGAACAATATGACACGCAAAACTTTTTTTATTTTTATTAAAAAACAATAAACAAACAGACATTTTTTTTTTTTTAAAGAAAGTATACACACGCAAATAAATTATTAATTATTTTTACATGGTGGACAATAATTTTTATTTTTATCTTTTTTCTCTCTTTTTTTCATTTCTTTTTCAGTCTGTAATGAAATGTATGAAAAAAAAAAAATAATAATAATTAATATTTGTAAATTAAAATAAATAATGATAATGTATTTAAATATGTACTCGATTAAAATATGAATTTTTTTATAAAGTTTTTGTGTAAATGTGAATTTGTAAAAACAAAAAAAAAAGAAAAAGAAGAAAAAGTTTCAAAAGGTTGATTATAAATGCTTATTAAGGGTGACCCTTCTAAAAAAAAAATTTATTAAAGGGACCAAAAAAACATAATAGCTTGCTTAGCTTTATATATAAAATCATATACATATCTAAAAATACATATGTAATATAAATATTAAATATATATTATGTATATTTAAAAAAAAAAAAAAAAAGGAAAACTGATACCAAACGATATGAATTGTTATTTTTCAAAAGTTTCCCCCCCCCCCCCCCCCAGAATAATAATAATATTTTAATTATTTGTAATATTTCTCTCTCTCTCTCTTCATTCCGACAAGAAAAAAGTATTCGTTGTAATTTAAATTATTTTTTTTTTCATAATCGTTTAATCAAAAATAATTAAATCAATGACTACATGTACATTTTCATTTTTTTTTTTTTAACATATGAATAAATTAGTGGTTTTAGCCAAAGATTAATTTTTTTTATAATTATTATTATTATTACTACTTTTTATTGTATTAAAAAAAAAAAAATTTGTTTTAGAGTAAATGTAATTTTTTTTCCCCCTTTTTTTGTAATTTTTTTTTTTATAAAAAAAAAAAAATACTTTTTTAAGTGCATGATATTTATTAATATAATTAAATATATAAAATTATAATTTTTTTTTTCTTTTTTTCCCCCTCCCTCCCTCCCTCCCTTTCTCCTTTCCTCCCTCTTTTTTACATTCAAGTTTTCGATTAGTATTTTGTTGTCGTTTGAATATATTTAAAATTAATTTGTATTATTTTAGGATTGATTAGAATGGAGGAAACAAAAGATGTATTTAAAGTTAAAAAATACAACTGAAATCAATATGTAATAAAGGTAGTCACGTGATTAAGAAAGGAAGAAAGAGAAGATTTGGATTTGGAAAAATTTTTCTTTGGATGTCGTTAAAATTTTCAATGATTATTTCAAAGGATGAAAAAAGATGGAAGAGTTTGTCGCTAAGAACCATATTAAAATTATTGACTTGAAAAGTAACTTTAATTAAAAATTATTTCTGTGTACAATTACATAATATTTTAAATAATATTTTTTTTTTTTTAGCAGGAGTGAGAAATTTAGACAAAAGGGGGATAAGATAAAGGAAATGAAAATTGGATTATTGGACTACTACTGGTTACAAAATATTTTAGTTTTATGACATAAATTTAATTTCCTATCCGGGCTGTTTATATTGAAAAATAGAAAATTATTTTTTTTGTTGATCCTGTAATAATAACAATATTAATAATTTATTTTTATAATATTACAAAAAATGATTTTTCTTATATTTAATGAGAAAAAAATGACTAAATATTTTTTTACGTTTATAATTAAAAAAAAAAAAATGTTTTAAAAAATAATAACTTACATTTTCTAGTTCGAAAGTATAATGTGTTATATGTTTTCCTCCAAGTTGAACTTCTAATGCAGGAACATTTAATATAATGTAGTTTCTAATAAGATAAATTACTGTAACTAAAGTTACAACATATTTAATTAAATGACTGAATATTTGTTTCGGTGTGAGATTGTATGAATCTGGATTAGCAAATTCAGGTAGCAGTATTACAGCTTCCATTGGAACCTAGAATAGAAAAATAAATGTAACATTATTTAATTCTAAGTAAAATTTTTTGTAAATTAATAATAAACTTAGTTTAAACTTGTAAAAGGAATTTTGTAGCAGGGCTCGAATAATCTTTAAAAGTTAATAACAATTAAATGTGTTTAATAATTAACTATTTAATTTGTAACTTATGCATGTGAATAATTGTTGTATTAATACTTTTAATAATGACGACATACTGGTTCGAGAAAATCTCTTCTCATATCAGGAAAATCCCAATGGTGATAAGGATCTCTGTCTTCATATCTTTTGTAATGGGATAAATCTGGATAATCACCTAAAGCATCACCATCATCTGGCATTGGTTGATATTCTTCGGGAAGTAAATTGTATTTTCTTGCAGCGGCATTTCTTTCAGCTTCAGTTTTGGGATAAGGGCCAGGTTTAAAATCAGGATACCAATCTTAAATAAATTTTAATGTTTAATTAATAATTATTCGTATTTATATAATAAAACGAGTTAAATTATTTATTTTACATACGACACTGTTTAACGTTTGATACGGATAGTGTTCGTAAAGAATCCAAAATTAATCGAGAATTGAAACTTTTGGCTAATATCAATGCCATTTTAAAAAAATTTCAATATGTAGGATTTATAGCAGTAGACAGACGAAAAACAATAATTTTCTAAAGGCACGACATTTAAAATTAAACGCATTCATGCATGAAAAACGTAGACTTGTGGTCCATCTTTTGAACAAATGAATTTTTCAATTTTGTGATTGTGCTTATAAAATTAATAATTTATTATTAAAAAATTATTTTTGCGTTGTTAATTAAGTAAAATCATTATTAAGTAAAAAAAATATATTTTTTTTAAATAATAATGGAACCCGAAACCGTACTTAAACATCACGTCTTGCAAGCAACTAAAATAGTTGAGGATCAATTAGATGCCGAACTTGAAAAATTAGATCGTTTGGACACGGATGACTTAAGAAATCTACGAGAAAAACGTTTAAAAGAATTAAAAAAAGAACAGCAAGACAAACAAGAATGGCTTGCACAGGTATGTTGAATATTTTACAAAATGAAAACAAAACCGGTTAGAAAATCCCATTTATGATGTATATATGTAATATACTAAATATAAATTAAATTTTGTTCAGTTTAAAGAATGAAAAATTAAATTTTTTTTTGTTTAGGGTCACGGTCAATATTTACAACTCGATAACGAAAAAGAATTTTTTGAATATGTCAAAATGTCGTCAAATGTCATTTGTGTTTTTTTTAAAACTTCATCGCAGGCATGCGATATATTAGAACATCACATGAAAATTTTATGTACCCAACATTTAGAAGCAAGATTTATGAAAATCGATGTTGAAAAAGCTCCCTTTTTAACCGGTAACTATTATTATTTTGTATAGTTTTTATGATACACATGGAACGTGGGTTTTGAATGAATGAGTCATGGGTGGTAGTTGAATGGAGGATCATAAATTCAAAATGATCATAAAAACTTGTTTGCACAATTTCATAATCATTTATGCCTTTGGGTTGTTATTTTGTTTTAAGGTCGACTCGGAATTAGAGTCATTCCAACAGTTGCACTTATCAAAGATGGAAAAGCTGTCGATTATATTGTCGGTTTTACTCAATTGGGTAATTGTTATGAGTTTTCAACTGAAATGCTCGAATGGAAAATTGCTCAAAGCGGAATAATTAAATATTCTGGAGATTTATCTGTGCCTCCGGATCAAAAGAAAATTCAATTGAATACATTAATGGAACAAAAGAAAACTATAAGGAGTTCAAATAATGCTGGTAACGATTCAGATGATGAATTTTTAAACAACTAAAATTTACTCTATGGTAAATTTTTTTCTCTTTCTTTCTCTTTCTTAACATTTTAAGTTAAATCCTTTTTTCTTCTTCTAACTTATTTTTATTATTATTATTATTATTAATTTGACCCATTTTTTTTTTTTTTAAAAGCACAAAATTAATAAAAAAAAAAAAATGTTGTGCCTTTGACTTTTGCAATAAAACATAAAATTTTTTTAACATTGAATAATTAATCATTATTATTATTATTATTAATTAAAAATTTTTTTTTTTTAATATTTGTAAATAAATGAAATTTATTATTTAAACAAATTGATTTTCAAATAATTATTATTGTTAATCAAAGGAGAAAAAAAAAATGCATTTAATTTTTATAAATAAAAGTATTATAACTTATTAACAAATACATTTTATATTTAAAATATATATATATATATAAATAAATTAAATTATTTAATAATAAATTATAAATATTGAAAATAATAATAATAATAAATATAATATAGACTTTTCTATTTCTATTTCAATATTTGAATGGATTTTCACATTCACATTCACATTAATGAGTCATAATTTACATAAAATTATTTTTAATAATTTTTCTGTGTTACATAAACACGTGATTATCATTATTATTATTTAGTTTAATATATATATATATATATATATATATATATATATATATATATATATATATATAAAAACATATTAAACTCAAATTCGAGTTGCTACTGATTGATTGATTGATTGATCTATCGATTGATTGTTTAAACTGAGATGGGACCGTCGCTGGCTATGCTTTCCATGTCGTCGCTGTCGCTGCTTGTCGATACTATGGCATTTCCAGGTATTGCCACTCTCGCATATTCGTCCGTTTCCAACGACTTGCAAAAATTTATCGCGTATTTTAATTTTTGCTGTAAAACGGACTGAAAGAAAAAAAAAATTATAAGGGGATTTTTCGAAGAGGGGGAGGAGGGGTGTGTGTGTGTGTGTGGAAAACTATAAAACCTAACAAACTCACTCACCTTGCAAGAATATCTTGGCATTTTTAAAAGGAAGAAACACGTGTAACTTTCCGGTAGAAAATGATCCGGAGGATTGTACGTGTCCAAAACCTTTAAAAAAAAAAAAATTTTAATGTGAAAACCTTAAAACCTTAGAAATCAGGCACGTTTTTTAATGCCCCCCCCTTCACTCATTCCTTACTTGCAAAACAAAATCTCTTCCTCTGAAATCGGCAATAGTTCTTGGCAACCTCGTTCTTCCCCACGCGAACCTTAAAAACAACGACCTTTCCTGATTCGTGAAATCTTCCATGATTTCCCAAAACCATTGGACGAGAGGTGCGGTCGCATCTATACCCTTGTACGTGGCAACCGATTTTAGTAAGTTTAACGGAATGTCTTGCGATCCGCAGACCATTGTTTCCAACTCGTAGCCGCTGAAGAGTGAAAGCAACGGAACCGGAATGACTTTGGCCATACCTTCTCTCACGGCAGCGATTTGTTTATCGAATTCGTGCAACCTGAAATTATATTGTGGGTGTCATTCGCGGGTTTTTGGGGTCGTCACTTACATGTTAACATACCTGCAATTTAAAGCTAATCGTACGTATTCCTGTCGATTATCTATCGTCACGTAACGATATCTTGTTGATAAAGGCACGTCAACACCTGAAGCGGATGGAGTCGAGAAAGGCATTTCTAATGTCTGGAAAACTTTTTCCGATGGATCCATGTCTCGAATGCAAAGAAGTCCTGGAAAACAATTTTTTTTTTTTTTTAATTGACTTTCCGTCGGTCGGCGGGAGAGGGGGCGGGAAAATTAAAAACTCACCTGGAACGTAATCTCTGTCTATTTCCGTCAAATCAGCAGGAGTTAAAGTCATTCCAGCTAATTGTTTCCATACAGGCTCGGCAAGATTAAGGCTTAAAGGGCTTCCGGTTCTTATGGCGATTCCCATTAATATACCTGAAAGAATTTCGATAAATTTTTTATTATTAAAAAAATGCATTCCAAGGGCATTTTACGGTAATAATAATAATAATAATAATTACCCAAAAATTTAAACATTTGTAAATGATGAGTGGTTTTGGCGTTTGGATTTAGTAGAAAACAATCTCTGTTCGTTCCAGTATCGTCTCGACCGTTGGGAGTCACGATCAAAAGTGGTAGGGAGCCATTTTGGAGTTCGTCACACATTTCGGCAATGCTTTCACTGTAACCTGGACAAAAAAAAATTAAACGATTGATAATTTTTAACCGATGAGATTTTCCCGTTACAGTTAGTTGTTGAACAATTTGAACACGAACCTCCTCCGCAATCGTCAACGGATTCTCCGACAAACTTGACTTTCCAAACTCTGTGAGGAAGAAATAGTGATTCCTGAGTGAGTAGAGACATTTTATTAACCATTTGTCCAAAAACTGATTTCATGCCGTCGGGCCCGGCCAAACCACCTTTGCTACGAGATCTTTTTACTTGAATTCTATTAAGCTCGATGACGGGTCCATGTTGTTTGTCTCTCACCATTGTAGTTTGTATAACCTTTTACGCGAGAGAGAGAGAGAAAACGTTATTATCATAAAAGACAAACTTTTTTTTTTTTTTTAAATCAAGAAAATAATTAAAAACCTTTCTGAAAGTAGCTTCTTTCACCGAATATACTAAAATATCTCTGAGTTGATCCAAACTTCCTTCTCCTTCCATTGGGAACATTGCCACGTTGGGACTGACTAGCTCGGAAAAATGATGAAGCAAAACCAAACGATTTCTAAGAGTCGGCAATGAAATATCACGTACGAGATCGTATTCCATGGGAGCATCAACTGGAAGGTGAGTTGCCTGTAAATGAAAATAAATTTTTGATAAAATTTATTGGTTTTTAATTTTTCAGTGTTGTCAACACTGATAATACTAACGTACCGAAGTAGATTTGTTAGTGCTCCAGGCTAAACTGTGCGCAGAGCCGCAAGCGACACGATTTATATTTTTTCCTTGGAGTGTAACCACCAAACGAGGACGATGAATAGCGTTCATGGTACCGTCACCGAGTTGACCCTCGTCGTTGTCACCCCACGTAAAAACTTCTCCTAAATCGCTGCAAGCTACGCAATGCAGAGAACCCGTGGCAATGCAAATAATTTTTTTCCCTTGAAGTGCTGCGATTTTTTTAGGATGGCGAACGTGTTCGTCGGATCCGTGACCCAGTCGATGGTAATCTCCTTTTCCCCTGATGAAAAAAAAAAAAAAGAAAAAAATTATAATAATACTAATACTAATAATACTAATAATACTAATTTTTTTAATAGATGACTAACCACGTGTACACACTTCCAGATCGAGTGAGTGCTACTGAAAATTGTGATCCGCATTCGACTTTCACTACTCCGAGTCCGGCTAACGATTCTATTTTCATTGGAATTTTACAACCGTCCGACCCTCCGCGACCTAATTTTCCATAATCGCCATCTCCCCAAGACCACACGTTATCATCGTCTGTTATGCAAAGAGTTTGAGCATCTCCGCTTCCGCAAGCAATGTCAATCACTTTAAATCCAATTAAGGTTTCGACCTAAAAAAATTTTCATGGGCATGAAATAAAATTTTTTTTAAGAGTGAAAAATTAAATGACATCTTTAAAATTTTACCAATTTCGGTTTCATTTGATCTTCGCTGTCTCCGTGACCCAACCGACCGTAGCGACCTTTGCCCCACGTGTAAATTTCTCCGCCAGCCGTGACGGCAGCCGAGTGAGCGCCACCGCACGCGATATCAACAATTTCTTTTCCTTGCAGAGCATCTATTAATTGAGGATGATCGCAACCGTTTTTGTTACCGTGACCAAGTTTACCGTCATCACCTTCACCCCAGGAATAAACTTTACCATCGGTTGAAAGTGCCAAACAATGTTTTCCACCGGAATTGACGGCAACCTGCGAATATTATTATATCGTGAGTAATCAAACGTCATTTTCTTCAATTTATTTCGTTTAGCTTCATACTTTTTTAATAAAAATATGTTGTATGGATTCCAAAAGAGTCGGCGTTAAAATTGTATCCGTGCCACCGAGACCCAATCGTCCTCCGGCACCGTATCCAGTCGCATAAACTTTTCCGTCGGATGTTACGGCTAATAAAGTTTGTTCTCCTCCGACAAGTTGAACTGGTCTTAAAGCGGACAAGGCTTCACAAGACGTTGGAATTTTCACTTTAGGCCCTTCGACTCCTCCAAGTTGTCCTCTGTGATTGTGTCCCCATCCGTATATCGTTCCGCTACCACCCCACGTCAGAGTCCAATCCTCGGGTTTTCTAAAATTAATTATTTCATTTTTATTTTCCATTATACATTTATGTGAAACACATTTCAAAACATTCCAAAAATTATTACTTACCTATTTAACCAAAGCAAAAGTTGTCGATCTTGTTCTTGCTTGAAAAGTGCGTGATCTTCGTGATGACATTGTATTGTTTCATCATCTGGAATCATTTCCGCTATTTTTTTCTTCACTTCTAGACAAAAATTTTGAGGGAGACTGTTTCGATTGATGAGAGAAGAAGCAACTCTTGACGCGATGCAATATCTGCGGAACCAACACCACTTATGATGATTTTCCGACGAATGAGAAAAAGAATCCAAACCTGGGAAGAAAAAAAAAAGGTTTTACTCGTGAGTACTATTGTACCTTAAAAATAGCATTTAAAAAAAAAAATTTTTTTTACTAACCCAAATCGCAGGCGAGCGCAACCAAAACTTTAAAAAATGAACTGTGCATTAAATGTCTGCCATTTTTAACTAATGGCTCCTCGTATTCATATTGACGTAAAAGAGCTTGAGGTAATCCTTTCAAAAGCGTCGATAGAGCCGAATCTCTGTTTTCAGAGTCTATGGTGTGAACGGCTATGAGTTTACTCAAACCCGATGACATTAACCTTCGTAGACCTTGTAATGCCCAAATCCGTTGAGAAGCCACTTGAAAAGCAAAAAAAAAAAAAAAAAATTAATTTAGAAAAAAAATTCGAAATGGCAAACAATTAAAATCAAGGTTCAAACGTACGTAGAGTGCTTAACTGGGCACAAGCTGCCAATGCGGCTGCCAATCTAGCAATTAAATTTCTATTTGTGCTCAATCCTAATCGTGAATCCAATAAGCACATGGCAAGTTCCATTGAAGGTTGCGAAAGGACGGCACGGTCGGAACCTAATTCTTTACAAATTTTAGGTTCGGCTATCGGATAAACCGTAAAACGCCATCCCCAGCCATTAACCGAACCATCCGTTGTGAATTTCCAACGCAACTCATCGCCTGAAAATTATATTTTTTTAAAACTCGATAATTTTAGGTTTTTTTTTTTTAACGTTAACGATAAACGAACCTTTTATTAATAATTCAGATGACCAATCACTCCATTCTCTTCCAGATCTAACGGAAGCCGTTTTCCCAGAACCGTCAATTATGACGAGAGGATCGTGACGTAATTCAGTTGAACATTGTTTGTCAAATTCTACGTGCAAAGCTTCGGCTCCAGGGATTTTCACGTGGCCGGTCAAAGACACACCGTTAATGTAGGGATGACTACTTTCTTGAGTCACGGGCTGCAATTTGGATTGAAAAGAATGTGTGTTCATTGCGACGTCTTCCAACTCCGTCACGCATAATTCTAATAGCATATCAGATACGGCACTGGAAGAAGCCGCCATTGCTGAAAAAAATCGATAAGTTGATTGAATAGTCGCTTTTTATTTGTTTTTTTACTGATAAAAATTTTTTTGGTACCAATCAAAACATTAGAAATTGTTTCTTTCGCATTAGGTCCTGCTCTTCCGGCTACGGCTAACTTTAAGAAATCAACTAGCACTCTAGCATCATTCTGATTCAGCAAACAAGAAAAATCGTCTAAAACAGGTATGCTAGGATCATTAGGTTCAGTTGTTCCAATCACTTGAGCGTGTGAAGTCACCGTGGCCGCAATTACACTCATTGCGCTCGCCGATAATTTAGAACTTTTCGATGAAAGGCTGGCTGAACTCGTTAGTGATTGGAAAATCATGACTGGATTTTCAATTTCGCTTTCGGGGGAAACTCTCGAACTCTAAACACAAAAAATAATAATACTAATCTTTTTTTTTTTTTTTTTTTTTTTTTTTTTAACAACAGAAAAAATTTTAGTGACGATATTGATGTAATCACCGATGGAATGGCTTCGTTTGCGTTTGCTAGAGCTTCACCGCCACCTTGAGAAATTTGAATTGCTGAACTATTCGAACCATCTTCGACGGGACTGTTTGCCGAATATTTCAAATTGATGTGCGGTGGAGATGTGACGTTACTACTATGACTAGATAATGCTGCCACTACGCATTCTCTGGCGTGTAAAATTTGCAAAGCAACAAGTATGTGTTGAAGAGCTTGCTGTTTGGCCACATTTGAAGCAAGAGGCAATACCAACTGAGACAGAGTTGAATGGTAAGAATTTGACGCGGAAGCTGACGAATTTTGCTTAGATTCTTCTTCTTCATTAACAACCGAATCTGTTTCTAAAATCAATTAAATCAATAACTTTAATCTTTTTTCAATAACGCATAATTTTAATAGTTAAAAAAAAAATAGAAAAACTAAAATTTACTTAAGCAAAGGGCTCCCAGGGGATCTTTTAATGCTGTAAAAAGTACCGGTTCGGTCATGTTCGGAGCATGAGTATCAGAAGTCGTCCAAGCGATCGAATGAGAAGAACCGCAAGCCACGCGATTGACTCTCACTCCTTCCAGATTTAAAACCAATGACGGTTTTCTATTGACTAGAATGGTACCGTTTCCCTGCTGACCATGATCATTATCTCCCCAAGCATAAACCTTTACGTGATTTAAAAATTCAATCACTCTCCATAACAACAATTACCTCATACCACGTCACGATTTATTTTACCTGTCCCTGATCCGTAGCACATAAGCAATGTAAAGCCCCAACGGCAACGTGAACAATTTTTTTTTCGCTTAAACTTTCGACCAGAGTAGGTTTTCTTACGTGTTGATCGGAACCATGTCCAAGACGAAAATAATCTCCTTTACCCCACGTGTAAACTTGTCCAAATTTAGTCAAAGCTAAAGAAAATTGTGCTCCGCATTCAATCATGCAAACTCCCAATCCGTTGAGTCTTTCTATATTATGCGGAATGTCACAACCTAAAAATGTACAAAAAAAAAAAAAACAATCATCCGTAGTACTTAAATGTAAAAACAAGACATTTTCTTTTTTCGTACCTTCGCTTCCACCTCGACCTAGTTTTCCAAAATCCCCATCTCCCCATGAAAAAACAAGACCTTCGGCAGACAAAGCAAGAGTTTGAGCATCTCTTGAACCGCAGGCCACTTGAACGATATGATGACCCAAAAGTGCTTTCACCTATTTAAAAAAAAACCTAATCATTTTACAATCCGTATATTTATAAAAAAAATATTATTCGAAAAAAATCATACTAATTTCGGACGAAGCTGCGTCAAATTATCTCCGTGCCCCAATCTTCCGTATTCTCCCAAACCCCATGTGAATAATTCTCCTGTCGAAGAAATGGCGGCACTGTGAGAACTTCCGCAAGCAATATCTCTGATACGTTTAGATTTTAGCGCTTCTATCATTTTAGGTCTATCCAAACTCAATCGATTATCGTGACCTAATTTTCCATCTTCTCCTTCTCCCCAAGAAAATACTTTTCCATCGAGTGTGAGAGCCATGGCGTGCTTTCCTCCCGAATGAACCGCAACTTTTTTAATCACGTACTGGTTCAAAGACGTCAATTGACATGGAGTCGCCACATTATTGCTATGACCTAAACCTAATCTTCCGTTCGTACCTTCTCCACATGCGTACAACTAAAACATTATTATTTAATTGAAACCAAAGTGAAAACACGCTGGAAATTTTTTTTTTTTTTTTTTTTTTTTTTTCCGAATTATACCTTTCCATCGTAGGAAACTATAAACAAAGATTTTGATCCTCCAGCTATGTGAATTGGTTTAAGAGCTGTTAAACTCTCCGAATAAACAGGTACTTTGACTTTTGATCCTTTTAATCCTCCGAGTTGATCTTTATCGTTTAATCCCCACACGAATACTTTTGTCGGACTGTCGCTCCATAATTTTGAATGACTAGACGTTTCACTCAATGTTTTCACTTCCTACTCGTCAAAAAAATTTTAAAATATATTTCAGTACAGGTACATATAATAAATAAATTAATCCAAAAAAAAAAAAATACTGACTGGAATTTCTTCGTAATCAGTCGCTAAAAACGATACATTCAAAGGAAGTTCGTCATTAACCAATCTTTTTTTTCCGGTTATTAAAAGAGAATGAATTTTGCAATTGATTCCTCCGTTCCAGCACTGCTTAATCGCTATTTCTATACAGGAATAAAATTCTTTGACATCCGATAGGAGCGTGACTAGAGTATCCGTGTTTCGAATATTTATCGTCGCAAGTTCGATCAAAGAAGAAAACGTGTCTCCTCCGTAAACTATAATTAAAGACGGCATGTAACTATTATCCAACGGATCCAATAATATTTTTAAGGATTTTATTAGAATGTCCTGATGCATTTCGAGGCGTATCCAATGTTTTTCCTTCGGACCGCAACTTTCCCAAAACAATCCGGATTCGTCGAGTAAACGATGAGCCCAATTTTCCCGGGATGAAACCGTGAGCGTTTTTATACACCTCGCCCAATCATCGATAATCCCAACCTCATCTGCTACCGGAGTACTTTCCAATTGTTTCGCATGATGATATTTACCCGGTTTTCCGGCAAAAACAGCAGCATTTCCTGAATTTAAATTCAATCAATTAATTAAATCGAAAACCACATTTTTTCGTAATGAAAACAAATATAATTAACTCACCTGGTTCAGTGATTCTCATAAATCCGTGCCTGTGATTTTTTTTCGTGTAAAAACAATTTTCGCAATAGTTAAAATTTTCGCAAGCTTTACATTTAAATCTCGGGCCGATAAGGGGATACATTTGACAACCGTAGCAGTGAATACCCTCGTGGCACGACTGGACGATCTGGATAAAAAAAAAAATTTTTTTTATTTCTTTAATTTATTTTACGTTTGCAATAATTTTAATAGTCATTTTCTGACAGTGAAACGTGCGGTACCTCCATTTCAGAAATCAATCCAGTCCAATTTGATTGCTGTGGAAAATCTACTTTTAAATCTCGGGAATTGCTGCTGATACTCGTAACAATACCGACGCTATTATGATCAACGGATCCCCATTTATATCTCGGAGCTATAACGCACGATTTAACTTTGACTTTATCACCGATTTTAATCGTCGGAGGCGGAGGTAATGACGATGGAAATCCTACTAATTCAATGTGAATAAATCTCACCCAATACGGACTACCTTTTTGCTGCCAATCGACCTGAAAAAATTATACGCATATAACACCGTTTAAACCTAAATTAAACCTTAAAAATTTTACTTAAACCTTACCCTGACATTCAAGTCGTGTAATTCTTCCCGATCTATTTTCAAAACTCTCCCGATATCTCCTTCGTGAACCTCTTCGTACGTTTTACAACACCTAACGATCATACCCAAAGCTATATTATCCCGAATGTAAAGAGCATATTCGTCGTTGCTCAAAAAATCCGATCTTAAATTAAAAGATGGAGAAGTCACTCCTCGATCATTATAAGATACGTTTCCCTCATCGATATCGTCAGACATTGAATCGGTGTCGGATAATCCATCGAATGATGAAATCGTATCCGATGTTGATAAAGGCACATTTGGATTTTCTAATAGCCAGGCAACAAGTCTTTCAGCAGTTGGATCAACTCCGTTAGCACCTAAAAATAAAGCAAAAATCATTAGAAAAGCATTTGTTTAAAAAAAGAAAATTAATTTTATGCGACACTCACTCAGAGCCCGAATGGCAAATTCCACTCCTCGTCTGCTAAAACCCATTTCGGTGATTTGTTCCACGAGAGGAGTTAGAAATGGTGATGGAGTTCTAGGTTTTTTTTTTGAATTATGAAGTTTATTACTGGACGAAATAAGGGATGGTAATGAACATTCACTGGCAGGAGTTGCGGTTTCACTTTCTCTATTTCCTTTATTTATCATTTCGGATGCTAGATGTTGACTAATATTCAAAGCCGCCACCTAAAGTAATTAAATGTAATTATTAAAATTGAATCGTTGTATTTTATTTCAAAGGGATTTATATAATAAATACTTACCTCTAATTCTTCTTTACAAAAAATTGCTTTCAGAGGCGACGGTTGAGTGGCTTTCAACATCATTCTTTGAAGTAAAAATTGTTCGGAACTAGTTTCGACATCTTCTCCTTCGTTAAGTGCTTCCAGTGTCAAAACCATTTCGACAGACGGCTGTTTTAATATTTTTCTCAATATCCTTTGATGGCGAAAAAGTTGTCGGCAAGCTTTTATGGCTGCTAACTGATGTTGCTGTGATCTTAAAAGCGTCGAATTGACAAAAGCAGGAACGGATCTAGCGTGACGATTATCACTTATGTTGGTTGTGGTGTATGCTAAAATGCAAAAGTAGGAAAAATTATTTTCGTGCCGCGCAAGGTAAACTTTGTTTTTAAAATTAAAAAACTTACCTAATAAATTACCCCACATGTCAAGAGAACTTTCGTTAATGGGCATTCTTTCCAAATCGAATTGTAGCTGAGGAAATGATTTGCAATTTCCTATCGATAATTTTTTTTGATTTAGAGAATCATTTAATTGAACAACTAATTTTCCACTTTGACTAATGCGACAAACAGTTCCTTGACCTTCCATTAAATCAGATGTAACCAAACCTCCGATCCGAAGTCTCGAATCGATTCCTCCTATCATCGATAAGGCTGCAATAACTTCAGAATGAATTTTGACTGCAGAATCCATTTCATTTTCATTTTCCTTTAAAAAAAAAAAAAAAAAATTATTATCATAAACTTGAATTATCGCCAAAAAATTTTTTTTTAAAACCAACCTGAATATTCAACAGTGGACTATTCGTTAAAAGTTCACCAGCGAGTCCAAGTTTGGATAGTAAAAATTTGTTTAAACAATTATCCCAACCAGGTAAGGAATGTAAAGTTCTAAGGAGTAAAACACATTCTTCCCCGATAGTGCTGCTGTAAGTGGCTGTTAGAGGAACCCTTGGTTTCAAAAGCTTTGAATCTTTCTGCAAACTACCATCTTCTCTGCAAGTTAAAATGGTGACTCCCATTAAATGAAATAACTTATCTAAAAAATTCATTTTTGCAGCTGCATCCGTGTTCCAGTATGGTAAAACAGTTTTTAACATTCTTAGAGCCAAAATTTGAAGAGGAAGATTCACGGCAAGAGAATGATCTTGTTTTCCCGCCATGGCCAACAAAAGATTAAGCCAAGCTGGACTCGTGAAAGCCACAGCCATTGATTTACAACACGCTATAGCACGAACAAAACCTAGATTCGCCCACTTGGACTGTTGCATTTGACAAAAAAAAACCGTTTGATTCGAAGATTCTGGAGTTTTATTTCCGTGATAAATAATGTGCCTAAGTAATCCTGTTAGTAATTTAATTGACGATGTTTGAACATTGTCGGCCTCTATACCGCAACAAAGCGACAAATTGATTAAAAAATTAATTGTGGCTTCTTTTAATATTTTTTCAGGACGTATTTCGGACAAACTTGTTTCCAACTGAGCTGTCGACTCTTCATCCGAATCAGTTTCTGAAAATTAAAGGTAAGAACACATTATTATTATTATTATTATTATATAATTTCAAATATTTATTTTTAAAAAAATTTATACCAGCGTCAACGGGAGTAGGCTCGACGAGCTTCAAATCGTATTTTCCTTCTTTTCCCATTCTATACGAATTTGTCGAACCGTTATCCCACTGTACGCGAACCCAACCGTCAACTCCCAGCTCTCCAACAACCCTACCAACTCCGTTTGGAGGTCCATCTTGATCTCCCCATTTCCAATCGGCTCCGCGAGTCACCCGAGTTCCTAGCATTTTTTACAAAGTGATTAGTATTTTTTTAATTTCTCGGTAACTTTTAAAACCAAGTTTTTATTAATAATTTACCGATTTTGAGTTTGTTTGCTAATTCAGGTCCGGAAACAGCTGTTCCAGCTCCTTTAGATTTTTCCGCCGAATCTTCGTAAATCACATATTCCTCCGTTATTTTATGTTCTTTTTTCGGTTCCAAAACGGACTTTTGAAAAACTTGTTTCAACAATGTTTGCAATAACGATAGCACTCCAGAATTAATGACGAAGCTTATTTCGGTACCTTTGTAAGTCCTCGTTAAAATTGCAATCAAGCTTAATACGAATCTTATCCAGGAAACGCGTTTCGTCCATCCTATTAAAGAATCTTTCAATATTCCTTTTTCACCGAAACCATTACTTTTCCGATTGTTATCGGAAAATATTACGAATTGTCTTAACATGTCGATTACCCAGGACGATATTTTAGATTGAGCCAACGTCACCTGAGCTTTGTAATAAGGTGTGACCAATTGAATATTGTCGAGGAAATGAATGGGTTTGAATGTCGTCATTTTTCTCTTGTGATAATTTCCTAACCATCCGTTCAGTAAGGCATACTTTACCGAAGCAACCAAATGAGTTTTTTGTAACAAGTTGCTAATCATTTTTAAACCGCTTAATCGAATTTCCACTCTTTCCATTTGACAGTACATTGATTTTTTAAGAATTTCAACATTCGGACAATCTTCTTGCATTATAAACTCGACGATACTCGTAGCCAAGGTATTACTATCGTCGCTACGTAAATTTATATAATTTTTATCACAGGTTTCTAAAAAAATACTCGATGGATATTTTATGTTTGAATTTTCAATATCTTTAATACTTTCACTTGATTCGTCGGCTAAATCGTTATCACCGCAGCTTGATTCATCTTCCACACACGTGTCTTTATCTCCTAAAAATTCATTTAAAAATTTTTAATTACCTCCTACAATTTATAAAAATAAATTTTAATTAATTTTAAATTAACCAACCCTCAAGATCGGATTCTTTGAATTTTTTTTTCGCGTCGTTTTCCTTTTGATTTTGAATTGATGTATTTACAATATCCTCAGGTTTCGAAGACACCATATTTTTTCTATCCCTGATATCACTCATTATTTTCTTTACGTTTCTCTTCCACGGTGGTAAAGTATGTAAAAGTTGTAGCCTTTTCAACGCGTTAATTTCGTGACTGGTTGCGGCCCTGACATCGTATAGTAAAAATCTACATTTATCTAACATTGGAGTCGCCACTTCTTTGTACGAACAATTTTTTTCCTGGCGCATTTTTATCAAATTCCATTTTGCATTGTGCACGATTTTTATGACTTCGGAAAATTTTTTCGGTATTTCTTTGATGACTTCTTTCCTAAGTTCAGACTCAACTAGGGAAAGGACGATTTGTCCTAATTGCAAATGTTTAATTAAAATAGCCGTGAGTAATCTGCCGACTTCTTCGACGGGATGTTCCATTGAAAAATCAACGTGAGCCATGAAATGTTGTTGTTTACAATATCTATCAATTATATTAATAAGAGCGTCCACTTGGGAATCCGATATTCGATATTCGGCCAAAGCTTGTAAAAATGACATGACGGGATCGATTTTAAATCGACCCAATCCGTTAATATGTTGCTTCGGTTCTTCCGTAGGAGTATTACCTTTTAAAACAAAATCAATTTATAATAATATTAAGAAACTTTAAATTGAAAATTAAAAAAAATAAGAGTTACCAGGCGTTGACGTAGCACTCCTAGCTTCTCCCTTTTCTTCTTCGTAGGGATTTGGAGGTAGCAAAATTTGTAATCCACCTGTTAAAAATGATGCGTTTAACCATTCCTTGGCTTCTTCCTCGGGCTCTTGAAGAGGTGTGCTTTCGGTTAGCCAATAAGAATGTAATCCTAATAAATAAGCCAAAGTTCTTTCGGCATCTAATAAAGGGGATACTATAACGCTTTTCTCATATTCCAAATTTTCATCTTCTAAAAATGAACCGACTAGATATGATGTCATCATGCCTTTCGCCAATAATGAATGATTAACCGATGTGAAAGCCTAAAATAAATAAAAATTTTTTTTTTAAATTTTTACTTTAGAAAATTCTAATTAAGGATAAAATATTATATAATTTACTTGTGTTGCATCTTTGCCGGCATAACGTTGAAGTAAATCCCCGTCGCACAGAGCCTGAGATTTAAAATCCTGAACGTCGTAAACTTTACCATTAATTACGATCCATAAACCTCCATCGTGATTATGATTGTACAAATCGCATTCGCGAATAATCATAGAATCTTCTTGAGTTAATTGTGTCGGAGATCGATAAGTTTGAATGTCTACGTCATAAGTTACAAAGGTATGTGATATAAAAGCATTCAAATAATATTGTTGAAAATAAAAAATTATTAAATACCAAAAATTCCAGGCCAAGACAAATCTTCCGAATCTTCCTTTTCGATATCTCTAATTAATCTGTTAAACTGATCCAAGGAATCGAGTAAGGAATTAAATAATTGAAGCCAATCCACCTGATACATCAAAAGCGGAACTTCTATTTGAAGTAAAACCAAACTGGTTAAAAATTCTGGAAGCAGGACGTCGATCACATCAGTTGTTAAAATTTGAAGAACTAAAAAACGATATTTCCAATTTTTAGATGCCAAGCTGGAAGCCAGAGGTAGAATTTCAAGAGCGTGACTACATAATTGGTAAGTGTATTTTCGTAATAACGATTCAGCTCCAATTATATTCTGATCTGTAAAAATAAATTTTTAAAAAATTTTTGTGAAAATATAAAATTTTAAATTCCAGAAAAGTAAAAAAGGAAATACCTAGTGCTGATCTCTCCTCCAAGCTTTGCGGATATATTTGACAAATAAGAAGGCGTTGAAATCTCAGCAAAAGATTTAAGCTAGGACTTCTTTCTGATTTTTCTTTGTTGAACATAGAATTCAAACCCGGAAGTTCGCTTCCATTTCCGGTAAGAGATTGTAACTTGGTTAAAGTTGAAGAACAACCATTTTTTAAAAGTTGTTTAATAAGCTGTAATAAAGGTATCGTACTGGTATTTTTTTCAAGATTCGAAGGATCTTTACTTTGATTGGCATCTTCCATAGCTTCCATAGAATCGTTTAATTTGTCTTTATCCGCGTTCAGTAATTCAACTGAAAAAAAAAATTTATCTTTATTATATAAAACTTTCAAGTAATCATTTATCAATTTTTTTTTTTTTTTTACAGAACATTTACCCTTGATGGCGGCTTTCAAAGCAGTTTCTAATCCTTCATCAGCCATTAATGTAGAAACTAATAAATCAGTCATAAATCTTTGGCCGGAACTGACATTGGAAGGATCAGTACCTACACTTGGTAATAAAGAACTTAACGTTTTCGATCGCTCGTCGGCGGTGGGCAGAAGTATAGACCAACCAACTTGCAGTGCAGCTTGTGCTGCTGATTGTATGGTTATAACTACTCCGTTTTTACTTGCCAAATTCATTATTTGCTGTCGCAAACTTGTCAAAAGACTTGAACCGGGGTTAAGTCCAACACATTTCGGATCAATATTGTGTGAAATAAGAGCGTATAACTGTAAGTAAATAACAATAGTTTTAAATCTATTTTGATAAATTTAGTCAAGATATCCAAAAAAACGTCCCTTCTTTATTTAATAATTACCTGCAAACGCAGTAAATTCAAACACGCAACAGTCATGCATTCCTTATCCTGTGGTGGAGGCCAATCGTGAGATCGACAAACCCCTTCGCTAACAACCATTAGTAATTGATTTAAACAACAAAATGTTTCTTCACAAATATCCACAACAAATGCCACTCTTAGATTAATGCTATACGTATTACTGCTACTCCAAGCAATACTCTAAAAAAAAAAAAAAAAAAAACCCGTTTTAAAAATAAAAATATTACATATATATATAAATAATAAACCTCCATTTTTTTCTACATACTTGATTAGGCCCACAATCAATGTCAACAATATTTTTCCCTTGAAGTAATGTAAGTAAAGTCGGTTCTGAGACATTTGTTTCACTAGTTTCTCCGACCTGACCGTTGTCATTTCTTCCCCACCCGTAAACTTCTCCATCATCAGTTAATGCTAGAACGTGTCCTGAACCAACTGCTACCTTTTTAATACATTTCCCTACCAATTTTAAAAATTTGTGCTTAGTTTTATGTTAAAACGAAATTTAGAAATTAAAAATGTTGCTTTACCGTTTAAACCTTCGACGAGTTTAGGAAATCTTACATGGTTTTCGGAACCATGTCCTAATCTATGATTATCTCCTTTTCCCCAAGTATATACAGAACCGGATTTCGTTAAAGCTAAACTGAATTGTGATCCACAATAAACTCGTGCAACTTCTATATCTTGTAATTTTTCTATTAATTTTGGAGTCTTTGAACCGTCGCTCCCTCCCCTCCCTATACGTAAAAAAAAAATTACGTCATAATAAAACTTTAATTTAGATTTTTAAAATTATTTTTTTATACGTGCCTAATTTTCCGTATCCTCCGTCTCCCCATGAAAACACTAAACCTGTATTTGTAACTGCCAGTGTTTGAGCATCTCCACTTCCGCAAGCTATATCAACTATAAAATAATCTTTTAAACCCACAACAAGAGTTGGAACAGTGTGATCTTCGCTTGTTCCGTGTCCTAATCTACCGTAATTTCCTCTACCCCAAGTATATACTTCTCCGGAAGATGTAACGGCTGCACTGTAATTTTGTTACAATTGTTTGTCGATAAATATTTTTAGAAATAACGTAAATTAAAATGATTTTTTTAAAAATTAAATATACCTGTACGTCGCTCCACAAGAAATGTGAATGACATTTTTGCCAACTAATTCCGTTATTTTCGTAGGTTGATCACGAGAATTATTATCTCCATGACCCAATCTGCCGCCGTCTCCATTTCCCCAAGAATACACATCTCCATCGCAGGAAAGAGCAAGGCTATGTTTTCCGTCTGCATGTGCTGCTAATTTGCTTATTTCCTTACCGTCGAATCCTTCGATTTGTTCAGGACACTGTCAAAATGTAAGTATTTAATTTTTTTTTTTTTAAACAAAGTATTACTAATATAATATGTCATGTTCATACTTGAGTTTCCGAGCTGTAGTACATAATGTAAACTTTTCCGGTTAAAGTTAATATCAAAAGCCATCTTTCGGCACAAACAATTTGTTTTACACCCAATTCACGAATACTGTCGCAACTTTGAGGAGAAGTACCCAAATCGTGACAACTACTCCACGATAACCAACCCCAAGCCATTACTTCTTGATAAATGGTTCCATTAAGTTGGTTCTAAAAATAAACATTATTATTAATAATAATTTTACAAAAAGTAAAGATAAAAAAATTAAAAACTAACCTTTCCAAAAACAGGCATTGGGGAGTATGGGGCTGCTAAACGATCTAAATAAGACATTATTATGACGGCGGATTGTCGCAAATCTACACTCACGTCTTCATTTTCTGGTAACTGACAGTACCTTAAAAAACATTCAGTTGGGCTAACCTGTAAAAAAAAAAAAAAATTTATATTTCTTATCAGTAGCTCAAAATAATAATAATTTATTTAAATTAATTAAACTTAAAAAATAGAGTAATGAATAACCTTGGACGAAGAAAATTCTTCGAAAATATAAGAAGACGTATCAGATTTTAATGATAAAAGGTTTTGAAACCTTTTTAAAAGTGGAACCAATGGAGCACTCGTGCCTGAAGACAAAACACGATTTTCAACTTCATACTTTCCTTTATCCCATAAACGTAATAAAAGCAAAACGGAATTTAAAATATGGTTTAGAGATCCACGTTGCATAGCTAATTCTAAGAGTAAACACAAAGCAGTATGCTGATCATTTATAGGTACTTCTCCACTGATTCTTCCACTATTAACATCTCTTTGTGTAAAAATAAAGTAAAAAAAAATTAATTTATATATATTACAAATATGTATAAATGATTACGATAAAAATTACTTTACCCGAGTACAACTTGCTGTAAAAATTTAGTTGATTTTTCAACTACCTCTAGCCAAACAGGGGAAACATTTGACTCATCGAATAAAGTGGCTTCCGGTAAAGATCTCATGGCCTCCAGAGATTCTTGAAGAACTTCACTGCATAAATCTGCATCTTCTCCTGTCAATATTAAAAAGGATGGCTTGATGTTGTAATTGAGGCACAAAATTTTAAAGTAAGTAAATAATACAAAACCTGATCGCCATGCTCTTTTAAGAAAAGCAAATGAAAAATTAAGAACGGCTGTTGTACCAACTCTGGCAAGCCCAAGAGTAGCTTTATCATGAGCTTTTACGCTGAAACAAAAGGTAATTAATAATTTTTTATTTTACACTAATACAAATTTTAATAACCCTTAACTCACTTTTGATAAGATATGTTTGAATTTACTGGAATTGTCAGCTTTTCCAAGGGTGGTTTTATATGATCAGATGGATAATATCTACTTAAAGCAATAAAATATCTTTGAAAAACAACAAGTCTTTGTAACAGCCTTTTTGCAGATAATGTACTTCCAGCTGTGTTTCCACATAAAAGCTTCTGTTCTAAATTTAAAGATGATATACAGTTTTCTAATTGTTCTTTGGCTAAAAAATTTTAGTGTTAGGTATAATTCATTTTCGTTAAGCTTTTTACAAAAATCATTAGAATTTTAATGTTTCCCAGTATTACTTGCTTGAGGGCCCCAAATCCAACTCTCCAATTGGGGTTGAACAGGGTCTGGTTTTCTAGCTTCAATTTCTATTCTGCTAGCTTCATCTTTGTCAAGTTTTTGACATGGACTACAATTACATCCCCTTTGAGGACCACATATTCCATCACAGCAGAGACATGTTAAAACCCTTAACCCACAATAAAAATGACCACTTTCGCCTAAAATGATTACTTATGATTATTATTATGAATACCATAAAATGTTTTATCTAATTTCTATAATTTATGGGGAAAGTACTAATAATATTCATAATATTGGAGTATTACAAATAATGCATAGTTAAAATATAATTAGTTTTTTAGCATGTTTAAAATAAGAATTTAAAATTCAGTATTTTAATAAATAATTATACTTTAGACGTAAAATTTTAATGAATAGAATAGTTGTACGTAAAATACGTTTTAGCGGTAATTAATTTTTTAAATTTTTAATATAAGTGTAAAGAAATACACCTTTTTTAGAGGTCACTCCAACAGAGTTTAGGATGCCATCACTAAATGCACCTGTAAGCTCTCCATCTTTTATCATATCATTCCACAGCAAAGATAAACCGTCATAATTAAAACATTGCTGTAAGTCCGTTTTAGCCCATTTGCCATCCAATCTGGACTGAGTTCGAAGAACGAATTCAAATTGTTCACTTAAATTCATCTTTGAAAAATTTGAATTAAATGATCCTTATAACAGGTTTAAAAAAGTACATTTTTCTTTCGAAAATAAAATAATAAATGTTATACGGATTAATTAAATTAACGCTGCAAAAAGCTGCAGCAGTTAATGAAGCGTTACAGGAAAAGAATTTAAAAGAATTTTTTAAATTCACATTTTGAATTAAAAATTCGAATTTTTAAATATACCTGCTTCTTGTTTTGACGTTAAGCTCGATGATGACGAAAAAAATCCCCATGATGTAATTCGAAAGCGCGACAATATTACCCACGCAAAAGGCATGCGTGAAATTTAGTAACAACTATTAAATAAAAGTCTTTATTATATTTTTTCGGGTGAAAAACGTTAAAAATGACTTCAAACAATGAGCCCGCTAAAAAAGGAAAGAGTTCAAAGCCAAAAACAAGCGAAGAAATACTTATGGGTTTTCAAAAATTACGTAGTGAACAGCGTTTTTTGACAACCAAGTTAAGCGAAATGGAGCTTGAGCTACAAGAGCACAGGTTAGAATGAAAAAAAAAAAAAAAAAAAAAAATTGGTAATTTGATACCGTTTCGATTTAGATGCTAAACGAAAAATGATAAATTTATTTTTCAGAATAGTTATAGATGCCTTAAAAGATATAGAAGGTGATAGAAAATGCTATAGAATGATAGGAGGAATTCTTTGTGAAAGGACAGTTAAAGATGTCTTGCCGATTCTCAAAACAAACGAAGAAAATTTGGTTAAAGTTGTCGAATCTTTCCACCGTCAACTAGTAGCCAAGGGAAGTGAAATTAATAAATATAAAGAAGATAATAATGTTAAATTAAAACACATTGACGAATTGAATGACATTAGTGAAAATGCAAATGCACAAACACCGGTTCCTGATAACAGTGGTAAAAATGATACTGGGAGCGCCGATGGTAATGTTGGAGGAGATGGTGGAGGCGGTGGTGGCAATAATAGCAGTGTCCTTGTTTCTTAACTTAAAAAAAAAAAAAACCTCTTTCAAAAAAAAAAAAAGAAAAATTAATATCGATATTATTTATTTTACAAAATATTAATCGTTTTCTAGTTTCCCTTTTTTATTTCTAACTTATAATAATAATAATAATTTTGGATAAAATGATTTCTCGATATTTTTGTTAAAATAAATCACCTGAGAAATTATCGAACATAGTTTTATTTTCACTCTCTCATAATATCAATGACAGAAAATAATTTAAAATTATTTATTACATCATTAATGAATTCTGCTGTGTTCAGACTTACAAACAAAATTTCAATAGTTCTTACTCGAAAACCATTCGAAATAATTTAGCCATTTTGTTTTCCTTCTCTATAAATATGCAAGCAAAAGGAAAAAAAATATCGAACATAATTTAAGAAAATTACATAATTTTATGTAATAACTAATATTTACATTGATTTAATTTTATTAACAGGAAAAAAAAAAAAAAAAAAACAAATTTTATGTTTGATTTGTTACAATAATAATAACAATAATAATAAATATCAATAATTAATAATCGATTAACCAAAAAAAAAAAAAAAATTATTAATAAGTTTTGTGTTTTAAAATAAAAATATCATTATTATTTTAGTTCTTTACGAAAAAATTTAGTTTTTTTTAAAAAAAAAAAAAATAATAATAATAATAATTATTGTTGATGAATTATTTTTCTAGAAAAATCATCATCATCATCATCTTTATAGATTGTAAATCACATGATAAACATACACATTCGAAAAGAGAGAGAAAAATTAAAAATTTAATTATTATTGTTAATATTATTATTATTTTCTAATTTTCTTTTTTTTTTTTTTAATTTTCCCTTTGTGTAATTATTCTAACGGAAAAGAAATTATTTAATTTTAAATATTTAATACAAAAAAAAAAAAAAAATAATTTTTTCCGGTAAAAAAAAGGAAAAGAGAGAAGAAAAAGAGATGGAAAATAAAATAAAAAGAAAATTTTCTTTTTATTTTATTTTTTTATTTTTTGAATAAATTTTTAATAAAAGTAAAAAAAAAAAAAAAATTGAATAAAAAAAAAATTGAAAAATAGGAAAGGAAGAGAGAGAGAGGGTGAAAGGAATGAAATTGAATCTTTCGAAGAAAATAACTGAAAAGAATTGAGTCAACGATGAGAAAATTGAAAGAGGAAATTTCTTTTCAAATGCTATTGTTTCTGCTTCGCTGAAAAAGAAAAAAAAAAAAAAAAAAAAAGTAACGAGAGAAGGGAATTGTTACTCGTTTTGAGATTTGTGTTCGTTTCCTTACCCCCCCCACCTTCCCCCACCTTTCCCAGTTTTCCCGCCATGTTACATTTCTGTTCCATCTCTCTCTCTCTCTCTCTCACACGATTTTTCCCCTCGTTTTTCTTTCCTCTCTCTCTCTCTCTCTCTTTCTCTCTAACTTGTCTATTATCAAATAATTATTAACAAAAAAATTTTTTTATTTTTTTAGGGGTGAATTTTAATAGACCGGTAAAAAAGAAAAAAAATCTTTTTTATTATAAAACTTAATTAAATGATTTTTATTTTTTTATCAAGAATATACTACAGGAATCCTGCTGCTGCTGTAGTGATTAACCAAAGAAAAAAAAAATTTTCATTTTGACCATGATAATAATTTATAAAAAATTTAAAAAAAAAAAAAAAAAAGTGCATTGTCATTACGTTACGATTATTATTATTATTATTGTCAATAGAAAAGGAAGGAAAAGATTTTTTTTATTTAAACGTTGATCGTATTTTTATTATCTTTTGCCACGTCAAAAAACTTTTAGAAAAAAAAAAAAAAAAAAACAAAATCGTTTAACCCAATTTAACATGAGCTTATAAAAAAACTCTTATACGCTTTTTTATTTATTTTTGTCATTGTCGTTGAATCATGTAAGCTTATTAAACATACAAAAGAGATTGTTTGTCAAAGGAATCGAGATGGGGTGTTCCAATCAGCGAGTTTTTTTTTTTTTTTTTTTTTTAAACGAACATTATTATATTACGTAAAAATTCTCTCTGTCGTCTGCTCTTTTTCGTTATTATAAATTTTTTTTTTTTTTTGACGTGTAAATTAATAAAAATTTAAATAAAAAAAAAAAAATTATTTAAAAACGGTTAAACGCAACAACAACATCAATAGCATTATTATTATTATTATTTCAAAGGACATTTAAAAGAGAGAGAGAGAGAGAGAGAGAGAGAGAGAGATGAAAAATGTAGGGGGCGGGAGCAAGCGAGGGGAAAGAAATTATTTAATTTTCTTTTTAAATCAAATAAAAAAATAATTTTTTTTTTTTTGGTTTTTACTGTTTTCTTTTTCATTCCTTCCAGAAAATTCTTTTTTTTTTAATTATCATTTTATTATTATTATTATTATTTGCTGGAAAAAAATTTCAACATTACAAATATTTAATACCGCTAAAATTATTTTCTTAAAATGGCGACAATTTTCTATTTTTTTTTTTTCCCCAAATTATCCCGCCATTTTCATCGTTATAATTACAGCAAAAATAATAATAATAATAATAGTATTAAGAGTCCAACAGTTGACACGCGCGGGCGTTTACATCATGTCAGCTTTTTATTTTAATTAATTTTTTAATAGTTTTATTTAGTGATTTAGTTATAAGTTATGTATATCAAAAGTTTTGGTATTTAGTGTAGTTTATTGTGATATAATTAGTTTTTTATATTATTTAGTGATAGTTATAATTATTTTAAGTTTAAATTTTAAAAATGGTTCAACGGTTTTTGTGACAAAGGAAGCGTCAGCAATAAATAATTTAAGAAGATGCTTTACTACATCTGATTATTATGGGTAAGTACCACTTTTTAACACATGAATTTCATTTGCAAAAACGTTTGGCTGACCAAAAAAATGGAGTCAAATACCCAGAAAACAGATTAAAAATTTTACATACATTTAGGGTTAATTATGAGTAGTTTGACTAAATATCTTTTTCATCTACTCATAAAAAACAAAATGTTGGAATAATTTTTATAAAAATATTTATTAATAATGATTGATTTTATATATATTAATTCAGTGTACAAATTTCTATACTCTCTAATCATTAAGGGTTAATTTACTGATTGTATGTTGTTTTAACCCTTTTGTTAAGTTAGTTTGTCTTATTACAACATAGTTTATCATAGAGACAGTGTAAAACCTTCTTTAAAACTGTATCAAAATCAGGAAAACTTAGTAGGCTTTATGTTAGTTGATTGTAATGTAAGGAATTATGAAAAGGTACAACAGACTCCATTTAATAATTTTACATCTCTTGAGCTGATTATAAGTAGTTGAGCTATATACCCCTGTCACACTATATAAAAATGAAGGTAGTTTAATAAAAATACTTGTAATTAATTAATAGTATCAGGTGGATGTAAAATCTCTGTGTATTCCTGTTGTTTAAGTGTGGATCTATTGATTGTACATCACTTTAACTCTTTTCTTAAGTTAGTTTGATTCATTATAACATATTTTGCCAAATGTTTAGTGTAAAATTCTCTTTTCATTTCATATAAGGTTAGAAACATTCAACTGCCTTCAGATTACTTAAGTTTTTAGGTACAAAATTGTAGTTTGAATGCTGTGTGCATACATTAAAGATGAAATGCATGAGGGAAAATAGTGGGAGTATAGAAATAGTTCTGATGAAAAAGTTATATGATAACTGACTCATAATTGTAATAAAGCAAAATGAGAACAAGATAAAGACAGAAGAACCAAAAGGCAAACCTTGTTCTATTGTCAACCTTGGTCAGCTCTACATGATTGTGAATCTCACTTCTCCTGTACCTGGCAACTCCACAGATGTCAGTCACTGGAGCCCAGGAGTACAGGAATTAACTCGTTTCCATCGAATAAGATGGTCTCAGTGAGACTTACAAGAATTGTTGTCATGCCATAGGTTATAACAAGAGAAAATCTATTCAGGCATGTAGAAATCATTGATATTCAGGCATTTATTCCTTAGGGATCGACAGGTAGTAACCTGGAATAAATGTTGAAAAACAATCCGACAAACATTAAGGTGAATTGTCGTGATTATGAGTGAAAATAATAATAATAATAATTTTACAGGATTCGTAAACGTTTAAGTATCGTACAACTTTCGTTTGTGTTGCTTTTTTTAAAATAATTATTTCTAAATATTTACATTCATTATTTTTTTATTCAACGGTATATTGTGATAATAATATTAAACCAGGTAGTAAAAAAAAAGAAAACTATTAAAATAATCATTATTATTATTATTATTATTATTATTATTATTATTAACGTATTTTAAATACTTTTAAAAACGTATTTTTTTTTTTTTTTTGTATTCTTTTTCCTGACATAATAAAAAGAACGTGACTCAAATTTTTTTTTTTTTAACACGACGATGATAATAATCCGATTTTTGGTTTAAAAAAAAAAAAAAAAAAAAAATCTCCAATGACAATCAATGAAGTAAAAAAAAAAAAAAAATCTTTACGCACAAAACTACTTTTGTCGTACCTTTTTATAAATGTTAATATTCTGCTAAAATAATAAAAGCGGTAAATATATATATATATATTAATGATGAAAAGACGGACATTTTTTTTTTTAAAAGAAAATATGTCATTTTTGACCGGAAGCAATAATAATAATAATAATAATGATTCGTCGTAACGAGGACAATATGTCTAACAAAAATGAGTTACATTTTGATTGATAGTTTAAAAATAATCTATTATTATTATTATTTATATATATATATATATAAATTCTAATAAAAAAGGTTGAGAGTTTTCTTAATCTGTTCTCTCTCCCCTCCTCCACTCCCTTTCCCACCCCCCGGGGAGGGAGAATTATTCAGCTTCACTGAACATTGTTTTCATTCATTTTCTTCTTATTTTGGCACTTTCGACCACGATTGAAGGTGGTGGTGGTGGAGTAGTAGCAGGCACACGCACACACACTAATGATGGGTTCGACGTTTGT